CACAACAACGACAGAAGGAAAGAGAAGAAAAAAAAACAGAGAAGCACCAACACACAAGTAAAAAGTGAATGACTGAAAATTAATGACTGTATGTCTTGATGGGGACGCTTGAAAGTTTTCGCCATGTATTGACGTTGTCGTTTGTTTCTTGCAACACATTTTGATTTCTCACAAAGATTTGAGGTATTCATTTTTGACGCTCACGCACTTGACATTCTTGACTTTTATCACATTTAAATCTGATGTGCGCCACATTTGACAGTCGTCGACTTTTGTTCCACGCGTCACTCGTTGGCAGCGAAGCGAACAAACTTCTTTGTTGCAAATAAAAAACAAAATTTCGTTCGCCAAACGAAAGCTAATATTCGTTGGGACTTTGCAACTGACATGCACATGAAACGCATACGACTGTTATAGTTGATCGTGCATTGTACAATAGAACGAACATTGTGCACCATTCAAAAACCACAACAAATGCCATAGAAAGTTTAACGCAATGGCAAATAAATTGTATGCCATGCAAATATAAAAGTTGCGGCGTAACAAATATAAAGGAGTTTTTATTTTGCTCAAACATTTCCGTTTTTGTTCAGATGTTCTTCGGGGAGATGCTTGTGAATGTGATCCATAATAAAAATTCATACACATCTCCATTTGCCGAATTGGAGGCGAGTGCAAAAAAAATGTTAAAAATCTAATGATTACTTTGGCATGAAAACGATATGCAATTTTCCGGCTTCTTTTTTCTACAATGCAATCCAATATTGCAACGGGTTTCTTTGATTCAATGAATCGCTTGAATTCATTTATTCAATTATATTCTTATTAAAAATGGCCAACGTCGTACGAACAAATTAAAACAATCATCATTGGTCTAATTGAATTATTTTCAAAATTGATGAGTTTTCTCGATTGTTCTGGCTGACAAAATCATGTGCAACCAATGCCAACAACTTATGATGTTAAATGTTAGGGAAAAAATAAAAAAATAGAGAGAGAGAGAAAGAAAAAAACAAAACACCAATAGAGTGAGAGTGGAAGAAATAAAGAAAAAGTTTAAGCGAAGTAGTGATTGTTGCTTGATGTGAAGTGAAGTCAGCTACTGCTGTTGCTACTTAAACCGTGTTGATAGCTCGAAGAGGAATAAAAAGTTTTTGATCAAACTTTGCGAAAAGTTGGCGCTTTTTCGTTATTTTGTCTTGGCTAGGCGGCAAAATTTTACTCTCTGTCCTGTTTTTATTTGAAATATGGCTTGATTTTCCCTCTACACTCTTCTGAATTTTCAATGTAAAAATTAGTGCCAAAGCACAGCATAAAGTTTTGTAAGCCAGTGATGCACACGCTCCTAGGAAGAAAGAAAAAAAATTCGTTGTACGCAAAAGTTATATGATGTTGTTTCTTGACTCCATTGTACGTTGAAAGTTTGTTCGTCGTAAAGAAAACTAGGACTTTTTCAACAAGTTCGTTTCTTTTGTTGTTGTTCATTTTTGTTTTGTTTCATCCTGTTTACGTGAATAACTGCACAAAGTTGAGTTCATGTGTTTCGCCTCCATCGAAAATGATGAAACGCCAACTTTGTCGATTAACATTAAATTACATAATCACGGTCGTTCGTCGCGTTTGACATAGAATTCATAAATTTTCGGAAGCATCAAATGCAATGATTTCATTTGTTGCAAATCAAGCCAATCATGCCCCAACATTTTTTTTTCTCCTCTATTCAATATGCATGTTAACTCATTTCGAATTCTTGAGCATGATTCGCCAGTTCAGAAAGAAAAAAAACAAAATGTTTTCAACTGCCTACCGAGAGAGAGAGAGAGAGAAAGAGAGAAAGAGAAAACTAATAAGTAATAACCAACTGGAAATGTAAAACAAAATCGAAATAGACAAGAGGAATGGAATGGAATGCAATGTTACATGAAGTGAGAGTGAGAGTGAGAGAGAGAAAAAAGGACAACCGAAAGTTGAGCAAAATTTCAAAACGAAAATAAAATAGTATAAAAGAAGAAGAAAAAGAAGAAGAAGAAGAAGAAGAGAAAGAGAGCGGAAAACAAAAGGAAGCGAAATAAAACTAGACAGCAAAAGATGAGACACAAGTTTTCAAACCATTTTCAAAAACTTTGTGGCGCAAAGTAGATAAGTTTTCTTTGAAGAACAAAATAAACTAAAGAACATTAATGAAATTGGAAAAGAACAAGTTAAAAGTAGAAGTTAGACTGTATATATACCGATGTATAAATCGCGACAGACGTGGAGACAGTGGGCTACAGGGCATAACTTCCCCGGTCATAATTCCACCGAATTTCGGACAAAATTTGCCCAAAATCCAAAAAAATCTATGGGGAAATTATGTCCATTTTCAATTGGATATAATTCCACTGACTCTTTGGTCATAATTTCCCCGAGAAATTATGTCCATATGCATTTGGATATAATTTCTTCTGATTTTTGGACATATTTTCTCTAATCAAAATTTTTTAGATGGGGAAGTTATGTCCAAATTTGAAATGGAATTATCATCTCCATTGGTACATGCATAAAACATTGGGACATCGGCACATTGAAGAAGAGATGGAGAATGAGAAATGTGACGATTAGCCCAGAATTCTTGGAATTTTGGGTCGGTTGGAGTAAACGCATGGGGAGAGACACCATTAGCTATTTTTTTGAAGTTCATATAAATACTAGAGGAAAATAGCAAAAATAGCAAAAAATAGCAATATTATTGAAGAAATAGCGCATTTGTTATTTACTGTTTTTAACCGTTTGAAACAAAGTTTTCGAGTTATTTTATGAAATTAAATGGAACAATTTGTTCTTTTCTATGAATTAACAAATAATAAATGCGATGATATTGAGCACTTTCACACTTCAGTCTGAAGTAACATGAGTGACAAGCAAGTCAATTTGTGCTAAAGTTTTGAGTTTTTTCAATCAATTTTATTTTTATTTCGTGTTCAAATAAAAAAAAATGGTTGAGCCAACAAAATTGCGCGTAATCGAATTACGCCGAGAGTTATCGGACAGAAATTTAAAAATTGGTGGAAAAAAAAGTGGACTCATTTCTCGCCTCCAATTCGCGTTAGATAAAGAACGACGAGTGCAGCTCACTCAAGCAAGTGAGAGTGCCACAAATCACGATGAACGTGAAATGTGGCAGAAGAAGAAACAAACATTTTGGGCCAATTTTTTTTACATTCAATAATAACGCTTCAAGTGACGCTAATTTCATTATTTATGTACAATTATTCGATGAAAAATACGTGGGGAAATTATGTCCATTTTCAATTGGATATAATTCCACTGACTCTTTGGTCATAATTTCCCCGGGAAATTATGTCCATATGCATTTGGATATAATTTCTTCTGATTTTTGGACTTATTTTCTCTAATCAAAATTTTTTAGATGGGGAATTTATGTCCAAATTTGAAATGGAATTATTTTCTCCGTCATTTCGGCCATAAATTCTCCATTCATTTTGTATGAGGGAAGTTATGACCGGGGAAAATATGACCGGTCACCGAGACAGTGAATATACCCAGTGCATGTGTGTGTCTGCGAAATGCGCGTGCGATTCGTGTCGCTTAAAGTCGATGCGGCCGTTGCGATCAAGCAATTATGCCGGAGCATGTGTATTTTCTCTCCCGTTCTACGGCTCTTGCCGCTTATTACCTCTGGTTATCATTTATTGTCTCCAACTCCTTCAACCGGCTATAGATCACATCACCACATTCTCTCTGACACCCAAACGGATAACTGAAATGAATTTGGAAAAAGAAAATATTTGTATCTGCACAAAGATCTCATTTCCACAAATTTAAACTCTCTCTAACATCTCTTCGGTTTGTAGTTTTATTTCGGTATTTACTCTGCACACACACCCACACCCCCATCTTTGTTTTTCTTTCTGTTATTGTTGTTATGTAAATACGTGAATATAATTACAGATGGTCTGTGTGTATGTATGTGTGTCTATGTTGAAACGATGGTAGAAGTGAGACTATTGCTGCCGGTGTTCGCTGATACAAAGATGTCAACAGCTGTGTTGACCTCTTTTCTTCGCTAAAAGTTTCAAGAATTATTTTACTTTGTCTTTTGTGTTCGTTTTTTTTTTCTTCTCTGCATCGGAAGTGGAAAAATTGAAGAGTGCTTGTTGAACAATGTTGAGTTGAATGTATTATTGTCGCCTGTTGTCATGCTATTGTATGTTTGAGGAGAAGGTGAACGAGTTAATATGCATCGATTAGAATCACATAGTAAATGGAAAAGTATAGCGAACAGAATCGACATAGTCTATAATAAGCGCGCGCGCTCATACTCCGCCTCCTTCGTTGCATAATCTAACTGTTCTGTTTGACCGTACACAGTTGAAGTTTATAGTTTTGCCGATAATTCGATGCAACGATGAAAGTTACGATGCCGTTGCGTGCACATGAAAACTCGCGTAAATAGACGAAATGCATGTATCGGAGCACCGGCCGTACCACGTGTCTAATACACTTGCAAATGAATTGATGCCAACTTTAATACCACCCCCCCCCCCCAACACAACTTTTGCACAACTTAAAACTTTGACGCTGTGTTAATGTGAATAACTTTTGTTCTTTGCCATCTCAATGAAGTGTATACATAGTTTATGAAATGGGTCGGTTGGCCCAAGAATGAAATATCCTCGCATTTGGTGCCCTTTGTTATCACGACCACTTTTACGTATGAAATAGTTTCAACTCGCACATGCTGATTATTCATGAGCGTATTTTTTTGCCATTCATTCTTTACATTTCCGCGGTTTATATGTGCGTTGGACCGACGGAATGATAACAGGTTTAAGCTTTTGTGCGATATATTGGCTCTCAAACATTACCCTGAACCTCAGTGAAGCTTTAAATTCCATTGTTTTTTTTTCTGTTGGTTTCAATAGCAAACTTTTTCAGCAAACTGATTTATTTCTATATTTTTTTCACTCATTTCGTTTTCTTCTTCTTTTTTTTCGCAGATCGTAGCAAGTTTACAATGAAGAAAACTACACGCCAGAAATAATAGTTCATAAATTACAACAAAGGACGCAAATCGAATTTCGGATTTCAAAGTCACAAAAAATAGAACAGAACGAAATAACAACTTTTCAGCGAAACAACTACTGTAGACTATACAAAGCCGATCAACATTCACCGCTGAGCAATCAACTGAAGGCGGTGCTTTGTTTTGCATTTATAACGAAACCCTACACATACACACACACACACATTTGTGTTTACCTGATTTGGCAGGAAACCAGTGGCCCAGAAACATTATCGTAGAAATAGAAAGAGAAACAAGCTCTCAGTACTGTCGAAAGGAAGCTTCGAGCGACGCAAATTAATTGATTAACTGGTGATAACAAAAGAAAACAAACAAAATTAACATTAGTCACAATGCTGTCGAAACGTCAACGAATCGATACACGTATTCCAATCGCCAATGGACCAAGACCGTTAGTAGCGCTGCTTGATGGCCGAGACTGTGCCATCGAAATGCCCATTTTGAAAGATGTTGCAACAGTTGCATTCTGTGATGCTCAAAGTACATCTGAGATCCACGAAAAGGTATGTCATTATGACAATGACATGACACGACATGACGTCGTTGTCTCTATAGCCCAATTTTCTAATTAGCGAGTCTATAATTGATTTTGTTTGTTTTTTGTCTCATTTTTTTCCTTCTTCGATTTAGGTCTTAAACGAAGCCACCGGCGCTTTGATGTGGCACACGATAATTCTAACGAAAGAGGACCTCGAAAAATTCAAAGTACTTCGCATCATAGTACGTATCGGAAGTGGTACGGATAACATAGATATTAAAGCAGCTGGAGAACTGGGTATCGCCGTTTGTAATGTGCCAGGATTTGGATTAGAAGAAGTAGCCGACACGACAATGTGTCTCATTCTAAATTTATATCGCCGAACGTATTGGTTGGCAAATATGGTGCGAGAGGGAAAGAAATTCACCGGTCCTGAACAAGTGCGAGAAGCAGCACAGGTAAATGGGCCGTTGATAGAATCAGTTTACCTCCATTAATCAATTGAATTCGCAATTAATTTGGTTTTCTTGTCTGCTCTTTTACTCTGACAGGGTTGTGCCCGAATCCGAGGTGATACACTAGGCTTGGTTGGTTTGGGACGAATTGGTAGTGCTGTTGCTTTGCGTGCTAAAGGTTTTGGCTTAAACGTTATCTTCTACGATCCATATCTTCCTGATGGCATTGATAGAGCTCTTGGCATTACCAGAGTATATACATTACAAGATTTGCTGTTCCAATCAGATTGTGTGTCACTACATTGTACACTTAATGAGCACAACCACCATTTAATTAATGAATTTACGATTAAACAGGTTAGTAGCCGTGATGCTTTACACGTACAATCAATCTATCTTATCACTAATCAAATATTTTTTCTCTCTTTTCGCTGCGATTGACAGATGCGACCTGGTGCATTTTTAGTGAACACAGCACGCGGTGGCTTAGTTGATGACGAAGCCTTGGCATTGGCATTGAAACAAGGACGGATAAGAGCTGCTGCCCTTGATGTCCACGAAAACGAACCATATAATGTATTCCAGGTTTGTTATTTTCGTAGAGCTTAGCAATTTCATTTTCACATTTCGCAAGGATAAAATTACCGAAAATTCATGGACTTTAACAAAAAAGAAAGTACGTCTGAGATTTTGACTCAATTTTGGCAGTGTTACGATGACGTATTTGCCACCCTTAGTGCGAGCGAACACGTTAGTATGTCGCCGCCAAAACCTTAGACGTACTGTGAAGAATGAAATAGATTTGTATACAATTTCGAATGCTTAGTTGTAAATATTTCGATTCAAAAACTGTGATTCTTCGTTCGATTCAAGGGTGCTCTTAAAGATGCTCCAAACTTGATTTGCACACCACACGCCGCCTTCTACAGCGAAGCATCAGCAGCCGAACTACGTGAAATGGCAGCCAGTGAAATGAGAAGAGCTATTGTTGGTACTATTCCAGATGTGCTACGGAATTGTGTCAATAAGGAATATTTCAACCGTACACCATCTTCGGCACCTGGATACACAGAAGGTAAACCAAAACCTTGATGTAGTCTAAATGCTAGTGTATTGAGATGAAATGATGTAGCGCGAGTCAAGTAATTAAGTGTTTAATTTAAAAAAAAAAAACACACACACACATAAACACCGGCACACATACACGCAAATTCGATTACAAGATAACGACTCTAAACACACGGTTTTGTACAGAACAAACAAACAGACGTATACGAAAACAGAAAAGAAACGAAAACAAGTGAAAAAAAAATATTTGCTTCTATCCAGAAACAGATGCGATTTAAATGCAAATAATTAACGAAAAATACACACGTATTTGTTTACAAACACAAGCAGAAATGTGATCATGAAATGTACAAATATAATTCAAGTACAAAGTGACAGATGGAATAAAAAACTTTTGGAAAATTTCAATTGCGTCTTCTTTTGAAATCACTCTCAGTTTATTTTTTCTGAGAATTTTGGATTTTAAATTTATAATTTTTTTTTGGGTCCAATTGGAGAAAGTGACCGCAGTTCATAAGCAATTCCATATCGCATACGTGTGGGTCACATTGAAACCATTTTATTGCATGGATTCAAACATCAATCTCAAAGTCTGATATACTATCGCAATAAAAGTCTCATTCAAATTGTTCAGTTTTGATGACGCATCCATTTTTCTCCTACGGATGAAAAGAAGAAGAAACAAAACAAACAAACAAACATACACACACACACACTCTACAATATAGCGGTCACGTGCGATCTTCTACTATCCTCGATTAATTGTATATTACGCTTAAAAAATCACATTTCATTGCGATCTGTAGAACTGATAAAAGCAATCGATAGAGAAAATTATACGATCGGCCCTTAAGGCGATGTAGTAAGAGTACAATGTACTCAGTACATGTAAGAGTTATTTTTCGTTAAAATTTGCATTTATGATTCTAATTGACAAAACAAATGCTAAGAAGAGAAAAAAAAACGGTTGTTTGTTCGGTTTTTCTTTTCATTTGCGGTGAAAATTCTGTTTGAAGTGTCCTTTTCATTCCCATTCATGATCTTCATCTACATTGTCCGTGGTAGCGTGGAAACGTTTCGGGGTCATGTACAATAGTTCAAAAATCCACTTGAGATATGGTTAAGCGCACCACCACAAAAATCCACACAAAATTTCAATCACTTAAACGCTCACATTCACACTCCATCATTTACACCATTAGCCATTGATGAATCACCAATGATCCAAATATATCTACACAAACATTGTCATTCACCGCAACCAATCTCCTAGAGGTTATGAAAAGAAGAAAACGAAACACTAACTGTGGATTTTGAATTGAGGACACACGACACAAGCACATCATTTCTCAATTTATTATATATCATTTTCGCTTTATTTTCTTTTCTTCTTAATTTAAATAATTTTTACTTCGAAATTTTCGTTAGATACATAATAATTTTAATTTTAGGTAACCGATAATTTGTCATAAAAATTATAAGTTTGTTGTAATTTACGTATAGCGATGCGAAAGAGAGAAAAAAAAAGAACAGAATTTTAAGGTGAAAGTAAACACTGATTTTTTTCAAATAACAAAAGTAAAATGATGCGTAAGTTGAATGCATTTTAGTATGCGGTTACACACAAATGAATCGCATACACGCATTTTGTCGTACAGTATAACTGAAAATAGTAATGTCGTTTAGTAAATTAAAACAAGCACGGTAGTAACGGTTGTTTGATTTGATTATATCTTAGTAAATGTTTGGATGCTTTAGAAGTGTTACATAAGAAATCCGCAAAAAAGAAATGAAAACATAATTTTTATGACAACTTAGTCAACACAAGCGATTTTACACAATTTATATATTACATGCAAGCAAAAAAAACACACATACACACGAAAAAGAGCAAAATTTATTCGCCCAATCTATTCATATGAAACAAAAATTGAATATATCAATGCTTTGTTTTTTTTAGCCGTGTACATAAAGATTTTGCTAGGCTAAAGACAAAAAATAAACCCTTTCGTATAAAAAAAATTGCACACAACACACCTGGGAAACACTTTCGCTCCGTCGATTCGATGAGGCATTTATCGAAATTTCTATTTTTCTTCTTCTTCAATTCATTTTAAAGAAATAAAATGTTTTATTGATATTGATTGGCACATCAGATTTCTGATGTTGAACCGAAATGAATCCTTTCTTTTAATTTCAAATACTTTGTTTTTCTGTTGTTGTTATTTCATCAGATTTAATCTGAATGTTAATGGAAAATCCGCGTTTATTTTCGCCTTAACCGAAATCATCACAAGAATTTGATTACGAAACAAAAAAAAAACAAAAAACAATGTGAAATTAATGCAAATTTTACGGACGAAATAACATATTTTTTTTTCTTTTTGTTAAATCATAGAATTTATTTTATGGAAATGTAATATTTTCAATTCCAAGTAACACACACACAAACTTTCATGCTTAAAAACAATTACATTTTTTTTAGTGTTCAATATGTATCGAAAAAAAAAATCGAAAACCCAACAAAATGATTCGAATTCATTTGATTTTGTACTCTGGCAAATTTTTGATACAATTTTTCATTTTGTTTTTTCTTGGATTTTATAAATTTAATTGAAACAAAACCAAAAGAGACAAATTGGGATTCGTTGTAACATAAACACAAACACACATTCACATAAGCGTTGTAAAAAAATTCATAAAATGGAATAAAGATTTCTTTTTATATAATTTTTCAATTTTTTTTATTTGTTCACTGTTTTTCGGTGACTTTGATTTTGTTCATTTTCCAAAGGTTTTCCCTAGATTTTCTCACAGAGGTGTTGTTGATAATTTTGTGCAATTGACTTTTTTTTTTAAACGAATAGATTTGGATTTAAAGAAAACCAAAAAAAAAATTTATCGCACAATGATAAGGGTTCATTAGAAGGGTAATGGTATTTTGTCGGCAAGCCAATAAACATATCTTTCACTGCAAATCAAACACATTTAGGATAACTTCGGGTGATATAATATACAAAAAAAAAAAAAAATTTCTATCGTTTTCCAATCAAAATTGCATGGCATATATTCACAATTTGTGTAAAATTAGCTGAATTGTAAATTGTTTTTTTTTTCGCTGAAATTAAACGTTCTACACATGAGATAGAACGAAAAAAATTAGTAAATAAATTGAACAAACAATTAAAACAAAAACCAAATGCATACACGAACAGGGCTCAATGGCGGATATTATTCGGGAGGATTGCAACAAGCCCATAGCACGACACCGCATGAAGCTCCGCACAGTGCTGGAGCCCCAACATCAGTACCGCCACCATCAGCAGGACCACCGCCAACCGTTTCGGCCATTTCAGCTGTGCAGCCGCACGGACTAGTGAGTAAATCTGTAAGTGGATCCAGTTGCTCTCCATTCATTTTCGCAAGAATGTCTTGCCAAAAAATAAAACTTAACAAATGTCGGTAGTCTTTTGAAATACTCTATTTTCTAATGATAATTTTTGTTTTCTCTGCCGTAAATCCCGTACAGCCGCTAAGCGCCCCGGACCCAAGTAATCATCATGCAACCAAACCAGAACCGTCTGAAGTGCACTAGTTTTCTAGCTTACAGCATAATTAACACTACCTAATTTACACCATTGAGTAGCTGAAATATTATTGTCATCGATAACACTTCATAGATTCTTTTTTTTTACTTTAATTTTTCTTTTTTTTTTCGAAATACATGTACTTTATAAGTTTTGGCTTCAATTTCGATTTCTTTCAATTACGTTCGAATTTATTTTTGTAGCAAATGGAATTCTGTATAAAAAAAAATTGAAAGAATAAAAGTAGAAACTACAATTTAAAACAAGAAAAACAAAAGATTAAAAAAAAATTAAATTCTCTATCACAATCATATATTATAGTTGAAGAAACGAAAACAGAAAAAAAAGAGCGCCTCAAAAGCATGATCGTTAAATGAACAGGATGGAATAACACACATAGAAATCACTTTTAGAAGTACATAATTAAGAAGTAACTTCAGTTTTGATCGTTAAAAATTAAAGAGAAGCAAACAAACATTTTTTGGCCCAACTTAAATATGGAAATGTGAATAGACAGACCCATTAGACTCTACATTTTTTTTTCTAATGAGTTCATTCATTAGCGTCTCAGCAGCAGCAGCAGCAGTAACAACAACAACAACAAAACAACAAAAAAGGAGCAGAACATGAAATTTTTTTTTATAAAGAAAATAATTTGCTAAAAAAATTAATTAAGCATTATGAAACAAGAAATTCGAATTGAGGCAAACAATTAATTACATATAACGAAATGTGTAAGCGACAATTCGCAGATCGATTTGATAGTAACAATTTTTTTTTTATTCTGTTCAAATAAACACATACATACACACAATCACGGGATGATCGATTTGAAATATCAGCTTGGTCCGTTTGAGCATACGTTTGTCAGATACAACAACAATGAATACGTATTGAATGTCGGCATCGTTACACAACACACTCACACACATCAAATCGAATATGCAAAGAATTTTTCTTTTTTTGCAAAACGCGATTGATGAAATAGTTCGATTGTCAGCACATTTTAACGAAAATCGAAATTAATTTCTTTCGTTTTTTTTCGAAACAATGGGATGTATATTTTGAAATGAGAAATTGATTACAAATGTGAACTCCTAATTATAATTTAAGTTCATTTCAACGTGAAAATGCAAGAAAAAAAATGTTGAATCAAAAATTTACAAAAAAAAAAAACAACAATATTGAATATAATTTCTGTGCTTGGAATATAAATGTGACCATATTTCCATGGAAATAGTGGAGATAAGAAAAATTAATTACAAACAAAAGAGAATGTTAGTTTGCAAATCTATTTAAGGAAAATGGCATAAATTCCCTGGATTGTGTAAAAACAAATGTTTAAGCAGATCGTAAAAAATAACAACAATGAATAAAGAAAAAATAATGAACAAAATAATATTAGTAATATTACACACAGACACAGAGACACACACACACACACACACACAAATAAAAACATATGATTTCGCTGGTCGTGAACGACGGAGCATAAATTATTGATGAGAAATAATAAAATCATTGAACCCTTTTATCTCTATTTGAAATTATTATTTAATATAGTAAGATTGATTATCGGTTAGTAAAAAAAACAACAAACACAAATAATTCGATAAACCATCAAAAAAGGAGATATGGAGAAGAAATAAGAAAAAAAAATCATTGAAACAAGTAACTTTAAATCCCCTGAAACACGAGTATGAATGGAGTTGATTGAAGAAGAAATAAAAATGTTAATATATGTATGTTTATTGGAATTTGAGCAAAAGAAACAAGAATTTTTAATTGAAGAGAAAAAAAGATTGACGATGGGGACAGACACAGTTAAAGAAATTCAAGCCGGAGATATAGGGGGATGTAAAATCAGTTAGATTATATTTAGCGAATGGATTTGCGCATCGGCTGAAATATAACAACACCAAATTAAGTTGACAGCAATTGTTCAGTTTTCTTTTACGATCCCATTTTTCTTCGTTGGTCCATGTCAAGTTTACTTTCCCTTTCGTTTGCATCACATAGAAAATGGTTCACACACACTTACACACACACACACACACACACACGCTATCTTTCGGAATGAGCACACTATAGTTTCGTCAGTGAGAGAAACAAAATCCCTGGATATCCAAAACAGCATTTCATGACATACCGATTGGCAATAATGTTCGTTCCTCAATCTCTTTTTCGACACCTGTCATTTCGTTGGGTATTCTCATTCGATTCGATTCGATTGGATCCGGCATCGCTTTGTCTCCCTTAAAATACTCTCTGATTGCGCTCAAAATAATTTTACATAACTGGAACGGATCGCTTCCGTTTTTTTCCTCCTCTGCTCCCTCGCTCCAATTCTTCAAAATGGTCGCAACCGACCAAAATGCAAAAACGTATACTTTGATTCTTTAAGGAAATAATTCTCCCATTGAAAATACATTAGCACTTGCAGTTATCATGATGAAGGTGAGGACGACAGTTTATTTTAAAAAAAATATTAAACAAAACAACAAAAAAAAAAATCGAAGGAAAAAAGTACATCATGTTGAAAAGAGAAGAATTATAATTTTTCGTCTTCTTTATTAACGAAATAGTTTCTCTATTTTTTAATTGATCTTAAGATAGTTTTGTATGTTTATGATATAAAAATAATTAAGTTAATTAATAAATGAAGAAATAAGGATGCAAATGTGTTTGACTTTTATTTTCCTTCCTTCTCTCTTTTTTTGGCTATCCAGAGTGCTTCCAATTTTCATTAGGTTGACCTAGTTGTCGAAGGTAAGCATGGCACTTTTGGTGGATTATTTGCAAAGTAGAACGCTTAAATCAAGGTAACCGAAGCGAAATGGATAGTGTTGATAAGATTGTGGAAAAAGCACTATCACTTTGCACGAAGTAAAAAGTTTTTGCTTGATTTTATTGGCGATTGTGACTGACTTCAGAGATGGCGTTGATTTCTGTGGACATTATCTACAGCGGTAGGTACTTTGGCAGGGGCACAAAATCAGCTCCCAGCAGAATAACTTAACGTTACATAAATTATTATTAAAATCGAAAAATCAAAATTAAAACTAAAATGCTGCTGCGTTCTACTGCGTCTCAACCACGTATGTATTGAACCCAGCGAGTTGTATTTGGAGCCCAAGATCCAGTACGAATATATCGGGAGTGTATCCATTGAACAGCTCAAAACGACCTGAAATCACAAACAACAATATATAATAACAACATTTTCTGTTTCATTTTTACATGCCAATCAAAATATAAGCTTTGTATAAGATGCATTTTGTAGCCACTGTATCACGATGCCAAACTGTTTTAAGTCCTGTTGGACGTTGATTTGACGCGTTACTCTGTTGTAAATGGGCCTCCGCCTCTTCGTAAGTAAGATGCGTCAGATCTTCGACGTACATATGTGGCTTCTTCTTCTTATTGTGCAGCAGCAATCTCCGTTTCAGCATTTGATTCAATGATTGATCGCCAGTTTTTCTGGTATACTTTAATCTTAGACACCAACCGATTGTTCAACTGTTGATTTGGATTTTCTGCTGCATTTCCAACCACTTCACCTTCTTTTGGTTTTGGTCGCAATTTCTCACGTTCCGATTTCAATTGTCGCCGGCTCAATTGTGTCACAATGATGTCTGGCAATCCAACTTCTGGCTTCGGTTCACAGTTTTGGCACACCTTGAATCGATGACTTTGTGTGTTCCGTGGAAATCGCTGTAAGTATCTTGCACGTGTTTGCGATGTGTATGGCTCTGCCACGAATCGAACGACACAATTCCCTTGTTTGCGAATGAGATTCACCAATTTGCGAGTTTCCGGACAGCGAACATGTTTCTTTATGCAAATCGGCGAATCGGGTGAAATCTCTACGGCGCCCATGAAGAAAATGGTTGGCTCGACTTGTGTTACTTCGTAGTAAGTCAAATTTGTTTCCTTTTGAACTAGAGGCGCTTGCAAAATTGAGACTGACCTGTTCTTGTTTCGTTTTTTTGTGTGTGTGAAAAATCAAACAATATTTTAGTATGAACTGAAATGCTTTTTTGTTTATTTTCATTTGGCCCAAGCGCCTCACCATTTTTTGGAAAATTAAATAAAAACCTGCGTATCTTTGGGAATCCTTAAAATCTAGTGCGTTATCTAGTGGATTACACTTAAGATTGGAATTGATTTTGTGTTAAATTACGAATAAATAATCCAAATGTCTTTCCATAATAATTATATACGAATTTGATTGGCAAATTTACAATCTAAATACTTTGCTGTATTACTGACAAACAAACGACTAGATCACCCAAATATTACTTACTTAGGATATATAGGTTTTTCTCTCCCCACCCAAGTTCCATTAGCCTAACACATTTTATTTTTATTTTTGCAATTGAACAGTCATACACAATATTATATAATTGAACGGAATATTACAAATCAGTGCTTACTAGCAAAAATGTATGAAAGCCAATGATGGCGCACATCAAATTGGCTTTTCCTTTCGTTGCATTAGCCTGTACGTGTACATCTATGGAAAACTATTCGACACGGTTCGAGCGCAAACATCACGTTGTCCAATAAAAATGTTGATATCCAGAAAATGTCAATTTTGCAGTCGATGTTTATTCCCCTTTCGTCGATTTGTGTAAGCAGCCTATTTGGTTGTCGATTAAATAGTATACATCTATAACATGTACATAATTTATCCGAAAAAGAGACACACACACGCATACATCGAGAATAGAAGCGAAGTCTTAATTTAGCAATCATGAAATTAGATATAAAATACTGTTGTCCATTCGGAGAGCGTCCACTTTGCATTCTGGATTCGTCGCATTCGTCCAACAGGGTAATGAAGTCAATGTATTGCACCAAAAATAATGGCTTACAATTCTAAACGTATACAATTTAATGAAATTTACGTCGTAATTTTTGTACAGTGAATGGCTGCTTTCTTGTGTAATCGTTGTAACTCTTCGGCGCACGAAATGGACGAGGCCGATGAATAAACAGCCGAATGATACTGTTGTGAATAAGTCACCTCATAGTTTGAAGACCGCGATACTTGCCGGTGTCATGTTATCATATTGTTACCATTAGTTCCGTGCACTCTCATATGACGATTCAAATTACCTGATTGAGAAAAGCTGCAAATGGAAAACGGACAGACCGAAAAAAAAGTCACATCAGTATGGGGATATGTTATCTGTTTCCTTTATACCTGCTCACACCGCATGTAAATGTAACGATGCCCGTGAACTTGTTTCCATCAATTGTATTTACATGTAATGTGTGAGTTTGGTATGCATGGGTGTAATTTAAATGGACAAAAAAAAAACGAAATACGAGGAGCCGCGTAAGCAACGGTAGCAACGACAACAACAAAAAAACACACTGAAAGAAAATAGAAGAATTAGTTACCGTAATAAACACAATTTGCACTGGTATGGTTTCTCGCCACTGTGTATACGAAGATGCTTTGTCAGCGTCGAACTGTCGGAGAAAGCTTTTTTGCAAGCCCTACATCTGTTGGATATAGAAAAAAAGTTATGAATTTGATTTACAATTGAATGGCCAAACAATGAATGTCAAGTGAATAAAATGTGAAATAGAGACGATTTTATGCATATAAAATAAAGATGTAACAAGAGAGAGCGCGCGCGAGAGAGAGAGAGCAGAAAAAAATGAAGAATAGATGTAGATCCGACTCACCGATAGGGTCTTTCTCCCGAATGGGTGCGCATGTGCGTTGTTACACTTGAACTTTGAGAAAATCTGCGATCGCAAATGGGACACCGAAATGGCTTCTGGCCCGTCTACAATGCAAAAGAATTGTATGAGAAAAATGGGACTTCGGCCAATCTAGAACGAAATTTCTAGCAATAAAAAACTTACATGTGTGCGCACGTGTGCTGTTAAATTGGCTGCTTGTGAGAAGCTTTTATTGCAATCAGGGCAACTAAAATTAAAATTGAATGAAAATGATTGGGTTCAAAATGCAATGTGTTTGCAACTTAGTTGCTCAATTTGTTCTTTCTTTCAATAGATATGCATACCGATATGGACGTTCGCCTGAGTGCGTACGAAGATGAGTTTTCAGGGTGCTCGGTCGAGCATAAGTTTTTCCACATAGTCGGCACAAATTTGGCTTTGATTCGGATTGAATACAATCATTGCTGTCTTCATCTTCAAAATTGAGGCCCAACGAATTTTTGGCATTTCGTAATATTGTTTGGCTACTGGGAAGTGACGATGGACTTCGAGGTGGTGAATAAGTTAAGCTATTGTTTGAGTAAAATGGTCGTTGTTGTGACGACGGTGACATTTTGCTTGAATCAATCATTGAGTTCATTTGCTGCTGACTTTGAATTGGTGGCCGAAAATCGGCCGTAAACGAGTATGTTGCTCCACTCGGATAATGACCAGGGCTCAACAACGCCGGTGGATATAGAACATTAACCGATGAAGCTGATGGTTGCTGCGTCCACTGTAAAGAATTAAATATTATTATTATTGATGATCGCAAATGGATTTGTGGAAAATGTTAAATTTACTTCAGGAAATTCTACCTGCGAACATTGCATGGGCACACTGTCCGATCCATATCCGTGCATCGTCATATTCATGCTTACGTTCACGCTCATGCTTGGATACATCGGCGGTGCAGATACATGTTGATGTTGACTATTGCACTGATTGTCATAGTAGTTCATGGATTGGCAATTGTTTGGCTGCGTCTGAGATTGTCCTGGGGATACCAAAATTTGCGGATGCACCGTGTACGAAAGTGAAGCTTGTGTCGGATGGTTGTAGTTTTGAGCTTGTGTTTGCATTTGTTGTGGGTCCGGACTTGATTTTTGCACAGCATGTTTAAGTGATAATAAAACGTCAGCCATATCATGTGTTGGCCGTTCGGGCCTTCGACAAAATTTTAAACCATTCATTTTCATGGACATTTCAACTATGAAATAACAAAGGTTCAAATCGAATACAATAAAAACACTCTACTTACTCGTATTTGTATGGTGCACCTCCGCATTGCGAAAATGAAAATAGACTCGGCAATGGATCGATGTCAAGTGGCGGTAGTGTCGAAAAGGAATTCATATCGTCCGGGCTCCAATAATTTGTCTGAGAATTTGATTGTACTCCACTGTTTTTACAAATGAAAATTCAAAATTTCGGGTGTTAATAGCTCAATCTGTCGTCATTGGGGCAAAAATCATAGATAGAATGTTGTCTTAAAAAAACGGAATGTTGACTAAATAAAATCTCGAATCGAAATAAAACCGTAAATTGGGCCAATTTTAAGATAATCCTTTACTCGTTAGAATACTCGAGTGAAAATTATACAACTAACCACGACTAAACAGAGCCAATTTTATACTTTTAAATTAACTATTGAAGGATTGAAAATAATTATTTCAATCAAAACAGATAGTTAGTTAGTTAGTTACATTCATAATTCGTGATTTGTTGACTGAAGTCAACAGTTGTCTATTTCGTTCGAAATAATCATTAGTTTCAGCCATTAATAGTTTTGTCATGGTTAATAGTGAATTAACCAAATCAATTCAAGTAATAATTGAAGAAATGTGCCAAAAAAGTGGTTTCAAATTTCATTTCTATTCGTTCTTGATATTGTTTCGCACAACGAACGAGGTGTTAACTTCGCCGACGGTATAATTCATCATATGCTCGATTGCGGTTATGTACGGAAGCAACAAACTAAGTGAACTGCGTAAATAAGTATTCAAAACACTTCAATTACCACGAAGTATAGAACAATTCGAACAATATTACATAATTAATTTTAAAATATTGTACCATTCCATATAGCTTATATTTCCTACTTAGAAAAGCATTAGAATCTGAAAAGAAATCTCTATGGCAATTCTAACGTTCATTCTCTCGTATCCGGTTATATTTCGAGATTTATTTCTTGAACACATCATCAATTTTCATACAATTTTCATTATTTGGCATCAAAATACATATTTTTCACTCAATTCATCATCATTTATTTATAATCATAAAAAACCACGTGAACAAAATTTCAACTCTGCAGATATATTTTTCTACAATACACGGCTTCATTCAACGTGCTAACGAAAATGTTTTCAGGCTAGGGAAAAAACTAATGAAAACAAGAATTACCTTAGGATGTCTGTGCTATCAAGACAATTTTCACAATCCAATTCGGACCCGCGCAATGATTGTATTGAAATGGTAGAATTTCCTTGGCAACTAATGCAGCCACCGCAACTTGGTAAGCATTCCTGTTAAGAGTTTTTTAAGAGTTGATATGGAATTAAATGCATCCTTTTATTGTTTTCTTTTTTTTTTTCAGAAAGATCCGTTGAATATTGAAATAAACAATTCGTAAGGAACAACTTTCGCCCACTGATATACTCCTCTCTTTCTTCTTATTTATTTCAGTTTGAACGAATGATCTCAACGTCGACGTGATTGGGATTTGTTCTACAAAAATTGTTATTTTTGCGAATTTGATTTTATCCGAAAATTAGTAACCATTTTTTTTTTTGAAAATTAAACTAGCAAAAGATTATTAAATCAACCAGAAAAAAAACACCACAGGTGAAACACCGTCGCACAATTTCTTTCTACTAAAATAGGTAAAAGATGTCCTCTCAAAAGTCGGTGTATAATTTTTCTTTCAATTATTTCGCTTCGACGTTAAATCAAAACTGCATTATTATACTGCTAACACACTTGAACACTATTTCAACTAATGAACAATGTTGCATACAAGTTTGTGTACCTTTTGTGAATTGAAATGATATTTGATCGACGATCAATCGACGTTGAATTGAAATTGGTTCAAACTCGCGTTTTCTATAGATAAAGTATTGTATTCATAAGGTGAATGCGTTCACCTTATGCACGACCTTATACACGTACCTGAGGACTATCAAGTGGAAGACCGAAAAGAGGATTGTTAGGAACATATCCCATCTCAGCCTCCACAGCAACAGCATCATCACCACACGAGATATACATGGCTCCACCCTCTTGATTTTCAACGGAATCTGAAAAGTCGACAAAAAAACGCACATCATTCGCTTTCGCATCGTAGAATTGTTGGTTTCGCAATATTTCTATCGTAAATTACGTGTCGTAATTCTGGATGCGCGCGTTAACATTTTCGCTGTTCATCAAATCAAATCGAACCAGCATTCATATTTCCATTACATTCGTAATCAACGGTTACATTGGAACTATTGAAATTAGTCGAAATCCATGAATATATTTGTCAAATATATGTGAAACTATTTCAAACGATCAGAAGAACAGAAGAGAAAGTTCATTGGCAAAAGCAATGTAGCATTCAGTTTGGTGGAAATTTCCACGAATCATAGAAATTTTAGCAATTTATCGGATTCGGTCAATAGTGCGCATGTGTGCGGTGTGTGAGCTGCATTGCTACTCAGCTATGTTATGACTATTACGAAGCGTAACAGGACGACCAATAACAACAAATTGAAAGAGAAACGCCTCCAAGGTAGCCGCCATTGCTTTGCTGCTCATTTCAACAGAGCGACTACAACCGCACTTAGACTTCTTCGTGTTTGTATGAATTCCAATTGGAATAAATGCTCATCACATTGTTTGGCCATCTTTTCTTTCGTACATCATTTCGATAAATTCAAAACGATTCAAACTAATAAAATACATTGGTTCTTATGACGAAAAATCTCTCAATTTCAATGATATATTGATTTGTTTAACACAAAATGTGACTTAACTGCAATCGATAGTCTTAAATGAAGTAACCGACGGAAAATAAACCATATCGATATGTCGCTTGTTATAAAAAAAATTATCTAAGGCATAGAATGCACAGGATTTAAAATGCCAGTTACGTTTGCAGATTAAAATTTATGACAGAAATTCGAATCGATATTTTATACAACACGATGAAAGGAAAAATCGTAAGATTTTTTAACAAATCGATTTAAGGGTGTACGTTTGATTCATGAATTGTGAATGAACTCAATTTATTTATCTTCACTATATTTCCACACTATATGGCAAAATCAAATCAGTTTTCAGTGGCGAGTTACTCTCTTTTTCTCGTATCTTACATATTCGATATGGTCTTACAATTGTATATTTAAATAGTGAAAATATTATGATGGAATATTGATAAATTGTCAAAATAGTCTCTGACTTTGGATGGAACTATGAACGATTGGTAAATCTATCTGCTGATCGAATGATTTCATGCCATTATCTGCTGCATCAAATTTCATTTTGGGAATACTAAATGAACAAAAATCTTATTGAGATCCATGATAAACTTACCCAGTTCGAAAAATTATTTATCCAATCCAAATGTCCACGGAGCAAAATAAATTGAATTAGGTGAATTTGATGTGGTTTTTTGCATCACTTTTTAAAACTTAGATAAATCAAAAGATTCATTTTAACAGCACATATTTAATTACATTTTCATCAAATGCAACATTCTTTATCCAGCTGCAATTTGAATTGTATTCAACATCATGATCGACATCACAAGTTCAACACCTGATTAATATCACTACTGAATCTCTTTCATTGAGCCACCCCGAAAAAGGAGCGAATATTGTGTGGTGACAATTTTGGACAACAATATTGGCAAATTAAATAAACACTACTCTCTTGTGTTATTCTTATAATGATAATTGTGTGCTTTGGTGATTGTACAATGATTTCGATAACTTTTTTTTTGTTTCGCGTTAAATTACGGGCACCTTCGTCAGTTCGATGTGGATGGGGCTTTCATAACATCCGAGAAAAAAAAACTAGAACAAACTTATGGAAACTAGTGCATCGGTAAACAGACAACGATTATGGTTGCGATTAACTGACGAAGGAATCGATTGGAATTGAGGCCGGTGTCTGTTTTGATGAACTGACCGTTACTAAAACCAAACACAGACTGATCATAACCGAATATAATTTAATGTATAACTTGTGTTAACTGATATTATGTTCATATGTACAACGAACACATTGACGCCGATATAGATAAAATTACAGTGAATCGTGCTAACTAATGTTGATTTTCACCCAAAACACACTATTACTACATACAATACACATACGTGTATAGATAGAGATACATATATGAATAACAACATCAGCGAAGCAACCACTCGATGAGCAGCAAGCACGAAAAAAAAGAGGAAAGAAAGAAGAAAAAAACCACTGAAGGCACCAACAGCATCAACATAGCCGAACAACAAGAATTACAGCATTAACAGTAGCATGCATTAATAACATAATATTAATACGTGGTGAGTGAGTGTGTGTGCGTACGAAAGAGAAGGAGAGACAGACAGACCGAGTTGAATATCTATCTGTGTGTTATTTTTTTTTCAGCATGTTTTCCCTTCATTACACCACACAACTACATGGACATGAAGCAAGGATATGCCACAATTCAACAACGATGAAGAAAAAAAACATTTCTTCGAACTCGAGACAAATTAGCTAAACTCTGACTCCAGCACTGGTATTCTTTGCTTTAATCGAATCACACAAACCTACAAGGCATTTAGTTTTGTGTACAGTATGAAAACAAGAGGGTTGAAATGGGATGTACTACAATGTATAAGTGAACAGACATGTGTAGTTCAGTTTGTAGTTTGGCCAGCCACCACCACCAAACTGTGTAGAGAGAGTAAAAACGTTTACACACTTTTATTGGGTTTGATCTCGTCGTTTAGAACATTTGATTATTTATCTGTGGGTTGGAGTGGTGGTTCGCATACATTGCGTTCCGACAACTTCTTCCTACTTTGTTGTTGTTGTTGTGGCTGCTGTTACTGTTCAAAATCCGCTTTGGATAGTAAACGCCTTCGAAAACTATCTAGCTCGATTTCAACACATAAATTCATCAACGAAATGCACTAAAGAAACATCAACCGAGCGACCGACCGACGGCCAAACATGCTTTTCATTCGCTAATCCTTAAATTACAACCACAAGCCTTGTAAAAGTCACGTGCTTCCAGAAAATGCTATTCATTACTACCATTTCACACACAAAATTCATAATTCATTTGCAATTTTGCTAAAACGCTCGCGATCAGATTTATCGGTTGCTCTTTTTTCTCTCAAATCGAGATTAAGCTATTGTGGTGAACGCAATATCTTGTACGCAACTATGTCGCTTTGTTTCATTTGAACGTGGTAAAAAATGAGTAAATCTCAATATTTTCTCAATTGAATGAAGAATAAGAGGATGATTTCATAGTAATTAAGTCGAGTTACTACATCTGTGTAGAAAGTTTTGCATTTCTGCAGAGTCATCATCAATTGGAATAGGATTATTATCCTGAATAGGAAGCCGAGCAATTACAAGTAAATTGACAACGACAAGAATTGTCACTTTGACGTGCTTTATGCAACGTATATTGATCGGCATTCTATCAATTGGAATCAATGCACTCCGTTTTTTTTTTCATGCTGCATATCATGGATATCGATACGATACTGAAAATAAAAAAATAAAAAACCAGAACGGCGGCTCATGAAAAAAGGCGACAACAAATCTCTATATGCGTGAATGCAGATTTTTTTTAAGCCGGTAAACTAAAACCATAACCTCAGAAGTTGTTGCATTATGAATATGTATGGAAAAAAAAGTGCTTTACTCATTCAAGTATGATATTACTGGCTTATTCATCGTCGTCGTCGTTGTTGTTGCTATTTTTTTCCTTGCATTTAATTCAGTACAGTTTCTGAGACGCATTTGAAATACTTTACATTAGTCTAGTCGATTCGGATCAAGAAAATAGTGAAATCGATTCAGAAGCACAAACATACACACACACATGGCAGACAAAGTTTCGAATGGCTTTGATGAATTGGCGAATCCACTTTGAAGTGTCGCGAATTCGGATTTCCTCAATCCATTGAAAATCGATATCCTTATGGAATGTCAATGTTCCATTGAGACCCCTTCTGGTCATTGGCTGTCGTTTTTTTCCTCTTCTTCTTGCATCAAAATCTCAGCATGGACAGAGCTTACCGTCTTCATTGTACACGATTGAAACAAGCGACCTGTTTTCAGGAATGTGAACGCAAAACATGAAAGATCATTGAAACAAAACCAAAAATAATGCAAAATATTGGAAAAAAAATCACAAACTCAACGAGAAACCAACGAGGAAGAGAGAGAGAGAGAGATGATCAAGAGTGCGATGTGATGAGAGAAAATAATGACACCAGTAGATGACGAAAACTACATTGTATGCGTTGTTGTGTATTGATTTGCATCAGATGCATTGAATCGCTGGGAAAATTTACACAGAAGCACCGGTCGATAGCACCGTATTATTATGTATCGAAAGAAGAAAAAAACGTTGCCGGTTCATTGCATACAAACGAGTGAATGCAAAAAAAAATTGAATGGAATGAAAATCTCAAATACTATGGTGGTCTTTACCGTTTAAGAGAAGGACGATGATCTAAACTATCATCGGCTTTACAATGAATTTCTGTCAAATTAGACAACGTGGTATCGTTTTTCATCGTTTTTCTTTCCTTCTCAATGGCACTTTCGCACATACACCGGGACGAAGAAACAAAGAAAATGAAACAAGTTCGTTGCATTCTCAAAATGGATATGAAATATTTCGAAATGATGAAATTCTCTTCGGAAAATGACAACGATAAAAATCATGCGGTTATTTTGTTTGCAATTCACACAGTGATAGTGATCTTGGTATCTTTATGACACCGACGGCCCAATGCTACTTGTTGTGATCTCATCTGAATGAAATGTATCAATTACACACGCAATATTAAAAATGACAATAAAAAAGCATCATTGCAACCGGAACTGTTTGAAAATGCTTATCAACTGGCGTTGGCAACATTTTATACACGTTTCTCATTAATCCATTTGCTATTCATAAAATTTAATCTATTTGCTTAGCCAATTTGGGTGGGTTGAAGGATACTTTTTGGCATTCTTCACCACCATTAAACCAGCCCTAAACCGAAATAGAACACTTTGCCTTCAAAACAGAAGGAAATTTATCAAATAGAAAATGAATTTTAATGTTTTTACCTTTGTTCCTGAAGTGTTCCATAGCTTTTTCTCTTCATCAAAGAAACAAATGCGTAACTATTCCTTTCGAATTCACCCAAAACGCAGGCATACGAAATCACAATGACAACATTTATTTGCATTTCTATTTTATTCGATCGTGAAAATTAACCCAAAAAGTAAATACAGGTGGTAAAATAAAATGATCCCATTATTATTCTATGGTAGAGCTAAAACTATCTCGCAATCGTTACGGAACAAAAACAAAATTAATTATTCATTTGGAAGCGGCGGCGCAATTTGCTGATCTGTCTACACGCTCATATATGATACAAGTGTATCAAATATACGCTTAACTAAATCACAATGGGATAATTTTATTGAGCGAAAGCGGTTATGTAAACGGCAACGAGTAATGCATTTGAAATATATTGGGGTCGGATGTTTAGGGTGATGCACGAGTCTCACAGAGATGCCAATCTAATTTGTAATCAACCATATAACCGTATGGTTTTTATTTTCATTCTATTTTCTAGACTTTTTGCTCGGTGATACATTCATTGTCTCTATTGATTGATGTGTTGATATGTGGTTACATCAACCCCATTGATGCAAAGGAAGAAATCGTTTCTGTATCGCTGATTTGACTGACTTTACTGGTTTTCAATCAAGATAGAGAAATGCGTGAGACTGTGCTTCCTAAATACGATGCAACGATGTAAATACGATCTAAATCAAAAAAAATATTATATTCATTTGGCCCAGTGAAAAAAAAAACTGGTGGTGTCTGGTACTCCAAATTTTTATTGGAAATAACTTCCTTTTCTATTATCCCTTTACAGTCGACTGAATGCTCAAACGAAATAATTATCAATCCAGAAAGAAGAACAGGTGAATAGAAAGTGTCTTAGATATCCGTGGAACCTAAGTAGAAAAAAAAAAAACGAAAACATATCGAACGTTTTGTATTTCGTCCCACAATTCAATATCTTGCCGTCAAATCATTGATATCAAAACGTAATTTTATACTTTTCAATTTACTGCCGTTTTCGAATTTTCACTCACTGTCAATTCTACCGGTACTTTTCAGGTTTTTTTCTCTCTCAATTTTCATCATTGAAGGGAATATTGTGTTAGTTAAATATTTGATGTAATTAATATTGAATTTCCAGAAGGAATCAGCAGTCATGTAAAATTTTAAACAATAACAAGAAAAATGTTTCAATTTGACCATTTGCAGTCAAAAGTGAAGTAATATCCTTTCAAAAATGATGGAAAAAGTTATGAAATTTCGAATTATTTCCTTTGGTTTAATTTTAGTATTGGAAAAAAGATCTTCTGGCCAAATCATGTACTCTTTGCGCATGAGAGAGAGAGAGAGAGAGAGAGAGAGAGAGAAGAAATAAAAAGAAGATTGAGTATTATCTCTCGAGCGCGGCGAACAGTCGCAAAATGTACTGTTTTCCTTTCATGTAAATTTGTATCCAAACCATGTACCACGTCGCAAGCATTTTTCTCTCTCTCTCTCTCTTCTGTTCGCATTTTTTTTTCAATCATCTACTGTATAATATAATTCGCCTACCGCATGACTGCGTTAAGCCACCTATAAAAGTATTAAATTACAAAATATCTTGTCTGTTGTCTTCATAGCCAGTTAATCATTCAGCAATATTGTGGACATTTTTTTTATATTGACATTATGTTGTTACTGCTGCTGTTGCTTGTAGCAACCAGCCGCCGTTGCTTCTTCTTGTGCATACCGAGTTTCGTTTGATTTCGAAATGCAATCTGAATGCGCTTTTCATCTGTACATTTGTCGTTGTTATTGTTGGTGTCCATGCCGAGCATACTTTCAACCAGCAATGACAACACGGTACACATCATTTGACTGTGATGCATTTTATATGGGCCGGGAAAATTTTTTGTGCGAGCCAGAAAAAGGTAAGGTCTTTAAAAAAGAGTGAATCAAAAGCGGACGGAAGTGCAGAGTGTATATCCTTTCAAAACAATTTGTCTTTCTCTGTCTTTTATTCAAGTGGTGGTCACTTGCTTCAACATTCAATACTCCACTTCACATGACGTGAGTGAGAACATCTGAAGAATAGACACGAGCGTCGAATAAATTACAGAAAGTAATTTGACCAAAAAAAAGAAGAAGTAAAAAAACATACCATAAGCTGGAAACACAAATGGTTCAATTGGTTTAGATTTCAATGTTGGAAACTAAAAAAAACCAATGTGCTGACGTCGGTCATTTCCTTTTTTTAGAAGCATTTGCTCATACATTGCATTCCGTATTGATCGAGCTGTTTATTTGTTGTTGTCGTCAGAGGTTCCATATTTTCAATTACTTATGTGCTATTTTTACGTGGATGTTTTCGTGAGCCATTCATTGAAAGTGTCCAAAAGAACCGTTTCATATCTCTCCAATTTTCTTAAGGAAAAGAAATTCAACGCGCATACAATTTCTCATTCATGCAATGAAAGCAAATGCGAATACAAAAGCAAAAGCAAAAAAAGCACAGATAAACAGCAGATCGAATCTCTTTCCGTTTTGGGTTTTCCGTACAAAACGTTTCGACAGAGTGAAAAAAAAAGAAATAAATAAACGAGAGAAGTGGCAGAAGTGAAATTATGTGGATATGTAAGTGTGTGTGTGTGTGTGTGTGTGTGTGTGTATGGTGTGGAAGTTGGGCCTTTTGTCGTACTCCACATGCACAAATTATAACTAAGGCAGCAATAATACTAATGAAATGAAGCCACCTAACATTATTGGTTTTAGAAGCCCTTGCAATGTGTTGTAAAATTGTGTGCGTTTTTGACAAATGTCGGATGAAAATGGTTTGGGCTTGCAACATCGTAGGTGGAAATAGAAGTGGAAGTGGTAACGGTTCCGTCGTATTGATTATATGATGTTTTTTTTTCTCCGCTGCTATCGCTACTGTTGTTGTGACTACTACTGCTGCTGTTGCTGGCTCTTCACTTCGAATTTATAACGTATATATTTAAACATTCGGCTGGTCATTTGGCGGTCGAAGATTTCATGTCTAGCTTCACATTCAAATGTTCAACCAACATATTTGACTTATTGCCGTCTATCGACTGCAAACATCAGTTTGAAATGGACAGCACTCAAATTTCTAATGAAATTATAGATTGAAAAAAGGGAAACTAATTTTTCAGCTGATCTCAATTCGTGCGAAAATCGTATCAAATTTCTTTGAAGAGATATTCCTTTCAGCCCTTCATATCATCGCCAAGTGACGTTAAATCGATTTGAAAAATTCCTTTTGTTTTTTTTTCTTCTCTATCTCCATTACAATCATAATCCGCATCAGTTTTTATACTAACAACCTTAAAGCACGTGCTTGCTCTTTGCTCTTTGCCATACGCCACTGTTCTGTTCCCATTTCCCAATTGAAGTGGCCAATAATCTCTGTTCAGCGTAAATTTCATGTATAAAATATTTCAGACCTAGTTTCAATGGAATTTCGCCAGAGCATCGTCGACAAGAACCATCAAGACATGTCATTTTCTCTGCATGCTACCATTTTTAATCCCTGCATCCTTTAATTACAGACACTGGATTGGCGTTACACCCCTAAATAATAAAATGTGTATGAAGCGCAATTTATATCACAGAGAAAAATGATTTTTTTTTTCAAAAATAATAAATCTGACATTTGTGTTTACTATAAATATTGATTTTTATTGGGTAAAATTCGTCGATTTTTTCTTTGTAAAAACAATCATTTCCTGTTTAATCAAAGCAGAAATTTTTTAATCGAATTTGTTGGTAGCTCGTTTTGATGCGAATATTCTTTGGGTATTAACACCTATACTGTTGGTTTTGGGTTGCCGTTCTGTGCGCGTGTATTTAACTAATATTCAGTAAACATGAACCATTCCATATAAGAATGTCCAGAATAATACATATGTGCAAAGGCCGCCCAGAAAACCGTTGGTCAACAGTGATTGCCGATTTATGAAATATTTCTTCCAATTGGAGCCCGTTTTCAGCAGAAGTAAACACCACAAACCGAATACTGACACCAGATAAAAGAAGAAGCCAATGATTCCGGTGAGGCCCATTATACCTATTTGAGGAGGATTAAAGACGGGAAAAAGGGGTTAATTATTAAAAATGCTCGTTTCAATGTGGAATACTTGTAATCTGATGAAAATGATGTGAACATTATTTATACCAGCTGTACTGCCGCTTAGCGCAGCCATCGATGTTCGACAATATTCCACGGCCGATGCATTGTGTCTTATTGCTGATTCACTGTAGGCAACCGTTTCACCAGACTTTGATTCACGCGTTCGTACTCGATTCGACATTTTTTTCTGTTATTTTCTGTTAATCCAAAGGCTAAATTTTCTTTCGATCGGATTTAATTGTTCCGTGACTAGGAATGTAAAAAAAAAACACACACACACACAACAAATCTTATGATGTGCACAATATGAGAACTGTCAAAGTCATTTTTTTTTTTCATTTTCCGTTGTTGGCTACGCAGCACGTCAACCACTGAGCTTTGCTTGCCTGCCTATCTGTCCGCATCGGGTAACACGCACCACAATCTGAACGCAATGGAAATGTCAAAACAAACTTTCTAATAAAATCAAACAAAACATCTTTCTCATTCTTAGCTCAATAGATCACATGTAACACTGTAATATTCCTCTTTTTTTCGTTAGTTTGTTTTGTCCATTTCTCGCATTCGGTTTTCTGTTGTGATCGTAGTATATTTTAATAAAATCAAATTTTTCATATCACGTCATTGATCTTAGTTTTATCGTATAACAACAAGAAAAATAAGAAATATTCAGTTGTAATGGCTCACATTCAATATGTTGACTCAATACTGCGTGAGTACATGCTTTTTCGTGGTTTTTCAAATACATTGAAAACATTTGATAGTGAATTAAAAAGTGATAAGGACAAAGGATTTCGCGTTGACAAAATTATCGACCAAATACTGAACGCAATCAATACGCAAGATTTGTTACTGTTACGAGAAATCTGGAATCATTTGGATGGTCATTTGTTTAGTAAATTGGAACATTCGTTTGCATCAGGTAAATATTTGTTTACAATCCACACAAAAAAAAATACATGCGAATGTCGTAGTTTAACTTGGTTTCTATTGTTGATTTACGTTTGTAGCTGTGAAAAAGTTGGAATCAGGACTGTTGAAGTTGTACTTGGTAACGGCGTATCTGGCTGGAAAACCCGATAAAATCACGGAATTCTTCACAAAACTAGCACCAGAACTACATATTCAATCTGAATGGAGAGAATGGTTTTGTATGTGGCCGAAATGAAATTTGATTTTTCTCATTAGCTGTAAACCAAATTCAATTAAACATGCCAATCGATTTTTCAGTCTTTCCATTCTGTAAAAATCCTGATGAGCATGCTGTGTTTGCCGTTTGCTTCACCAAACAATGGCAAGATACGCTGTTGGTATCTCTGCACAATTTTTTGGCGACAATATTCCAATGTATGCCTCAACCGACCCTGACCCGTCTCGATACGGAGGCCACACAGATGAAAAAGCTACAGGAGGAGAATAATCTATTGAGAAGCCGCATCCAATCAATGGGTAATCAATTATCACAGCCGTCAGCATCATCGTCGCCCAAAAGTGGCTCGTCAACAACACATCAATCGCGGCGCTCAACGTTCCATGAACAAAAACGTTTACCAGATAACAAACCGCACATGCAAATCAATCCAAATCCAAATCCAAATTCATTGAACGATGTCATTCCATTTTACATTCCACCACCACCGCATCTAGGTACAAAATTTGTTTTCCACCACAAGAATATCGAAATGTTTTGATTAATATTATCGCGTTCATTTTAGTTGACGACTTTTATATCATTGCTCAGGAGACAATGAATGTTGGTAATATGGCCGATTCGCAGGCACGCAGTCTGCGATCACTCATTCGAAATATCAGCTCAGGGGGAAGCCCGGTAATGGGCCGAAAAGAATCATTGGACAGAGGTTCGAAAAAACGATCGGGCAGTGCTGGCAGCCGATCATGGAATCTGCACTAAATCAGCTACAGATTTGAAATAATTGAACGAAATCAAATGAATCTCGTATGTAGACTCTAGCTTACACTATCTACGCTCATGAGTAGTGGCAATGATGATCATTTTCCTGTATATTATGCAATTATAAATTTAAATAAAGAAAAAGCGAGAGAAGTATTTGTTGTGATTCCAAATAAAATCAACAAAAAGATGAGAAAAATGAACATGAACAGCAACAAATCAACTGTATATTTAGTAACAATAAAACTGTAAAATCTATGTATTACCAACATTTGCACTTCAGTTAGAAACAGAAATAAATGATATCTTAATTCACCTAAATGATGTACTACATGTCTACATATTTATTGTATTCAAACTATGATGTACGCAAACTTGATATATTTCAATTACGCAAAATTGCAAACTTTTTCTCGCTCTCTCCCACTCGCCTTTTATCATTTTGGTTTTTTTTCTTTTCATTTTCGTGGCAGGCGATATACCATATCGGATATGGTGTTATCAGTTCGGGCAAATATTCATCTACTATTTATTTGCTGAAGACTTAAACTGATTTGCTGAAGGCTTAACTCCCGGTGATTTATTCACTGAAATAAATGAAAGAAAGTTACGATTTGTTTGAATAAAACATTCGAAAAAATATTATGAATATTGGTTGTGGACAAAGGAAGGGGTTTTGCGATTCTACTTCGAATCAGGAATTTCATAATTTAGACCTCAATCTATGCATTTTCAGAATTTTACAGTAGAATGGATTTTTCTTCCTTCACCTAAAGCCTTTTTTCAAGCAAACTCAACTTGCCCACGTCTGGTGGCGTATAACCTTCACAAAACAAAACAAATCCATTTACAAATATTTTCATTTTTATTATACGTCATTTTGACTAATAAAATAGATAAACAGCAATTTCATCGCCATCCCATCTTTAAACAGTATACAAAAGAGGGGGGGATCAAAATGCTTCACTTTTCTTCAAATCATATGTATACTTTATAGAATATAATATTATGTATATAATAACACTTTTGGTATAGAATTTATTTTAAATGCATTTAGAGGAAAACAACACATTTTCCATTCAATTTTGGTTGATTCAACACATTGACTTAGTTCTCCTTTTTAAAGGCACATCTTGGAAAAATCTATCGGCTTAGCTTAGTAGTTTTTAATATCAAAAATTTCCCGAAGCAATGGTTGCACTTGATTTGGATTGACATCTAAATAAATTGAAATGATCACGTCTTTAAGGCATTCCAGTTCATTGATTTTCTGAATCAATTTTAAAAATAACGATTTCGCTTCACAGCCCGGGTATATACTTTCCAAGTATCGTCTCAATAAATAATAATAGGAATTCTATGTAGAAAGAACAAAAAAAAAAACAAACATTTTTATAAATCAAATCTTTCATCGGAAAATTAATTGGATTGTGTTACAGATACGTACCTGTTCTAGGATAATAACGTCGGTGTGAACTGTTTTTGCACGGGTTGGAGTGAATAGGACAATGGCACTCATGATTAGAATAATATTTTCATCCCGTCGAAGACGTGGATCAAATGTTCGTATGAACTTGTCATACTCCTCGTAAACGTTGTTCTTGGCCAATTTGAGCACGTCACTTTTTATCGATGACATAATATCCTGACTGTGCGGTATATTCCAAGTATTGTGGTCTACATCATACTGCATAATTGATCGTAGAATCATCATTTCGGTGCTACCTCCTTTCAGCAGTGCAACTTGGTCTTCTTGACACATATTTTTGAATGCATTTATTTTCTTGACCATTTTAATTAGGCGCTTGATTGCGATCGCCGTCAAATTGATAAGCATCAACAGTTGCGGATGCTCCGGATTTTTTTCCGTCTGCAACAATGAAATGAAGAAAAAGAAAACATTCATGAACAAAACATTAAAGCAACACGCAATTCATGTGTTGTTGTTATCAGTAGAATTTTCAGCGCTTAATCATCCATCCATCAAATTGTTCTTTCATATAAAATAAAAGAATTCGATTGAAATTGAATGTGCACTCCAGGTGGTTCTGGCCGTAAAAAACAACCACAAAATTCACCATTTATTGTGGCTCTTTATCAGCATTAATTTATCAAATACCGTTATCAGTTAACGAATCAATATGATTACAAATACGAAGTACGAAAATTAAATGTAGTTTGGTCGAAAATAAAATAAATAGATAAATGTTTTTTTCTTCGTTGTTGTTGTTAATTTGTTTAAATTAGAAAAAAAGAAATTACTGCCTATATACCTTGTTTGAAGTATCATTTCGTTCTCGCACCAACGGCGTTATATCCTCATCCAGTGGAATGAATAATGCTTTGTAGGCGACAATCAACTCATTCAGTTTGGCCGTTTCTGAATCGTTCAATTCTCGGTTGATGCTTGGTTCCCGGATGCCATTCCAATTGTACTCGATTTTGATGGCATCACTTATGATAGATTCCAATGTATTTGGCCGCACATTACCCATGTCTTCGGAATCTTTTCCGTATTGTTCTGTAGTTGGTGTGGTCTTTGGGCGTAATGATTCGCCATTGGCAGATTGCAGCAAATTTCGAATGGTAGGACTAGACATGGATTTCGTGTAAAATAATGTATCGGTAACAGTGTCATTTGGCATGAGCTCGGTTGGTCTTACTTCACTAGCCGACTCAGATGGACAGCCCATGAGATGGCTCAATTCACTGATTTCCATTTTTGTTGTCGAATCGACCATCGTAATATCGACCATGTCATTCAACATTTTCATCGCTTCGCCCGGCGAATTCATGAATTTATCCACTATTTGCACGGCATTGTCAGGTGTGGTCATCAGTTGTTGAAGAAATTGCAGAACATCCGACGGTGAATTCACACATTTGGCAATAATTTCTAGAGCATCCGTTGGTGAGGACATGAATTTTGTGAAAACAGTGAGTGCATGGTAAGGTGAATTCATGATTTTGTTGATTATCTTCAGGGCATCTCCTGGAGAGCCGATCATATGGCCGATCAATCTCATCGCCTCCTTTTGTGACTGAATGATTTTTGTGATAACTTCCATTGCTGATTTTTGATTAGGCATCAGATTGTTTATATAGTTACTCGATTCACTCGGGTGATTGAGGAAAAAGCTCACAATATCACTTGGGCTCGAATCTTTTGTGGGACATTCAAATCGTTGTGGCGATTGAAAACTCATTTGATAGTTGTTTGTAGTCGATGTAATCGAATTTGTGATGTTTGATGGAGTGTTACTTATGGTGGTGCTGACATCAACTGTTGCTTCAGCTGGTTGATATGGCATTTTCAATGGTGGTGATTGTTGTGGCAAATTCTGTGCTGTTGGATAACTAGATGGGCTGGTTGGACTCATGGAACTGTTTGACAGTATGCTTGGAACGGATTGGAATCCACTTACAGACAAACACTCACTGTTCGAACTGCCCGGTGAGCTTGTGTCCATTAAATTATCCTGCGCCCAGAATTCATTCAATGGATTCTCATGCTCTTTTTTCATTTTATCATCACCACTACTCACCGATGCTTTTGATTTTCGTTTGGCTCTGTTCTGTTCCACCTTCTTCCGTTTTAACAGTTTATCTTCTTCAGTCATAATATACTCTTTTCGCATTCCGATTTTGAAACATTTCTGTAGGCGACATCGTTGACAAAATCGCCGGGTAACCACTGTAATTTCGCAGGTTTCGTTGAACGGGCACGAAAAATCCTTGCTAGAGAGAGCATTGCGTCGGAAGAAGGCCTTACAACTCTCACATGTAACCGCATTAAAGTTATATCCGAGCGCTTTATCACCGCAAACCATACACACTTTGTCTATCTGGGACATTTTTCTTGTTCAAATATTCATAAATACCCATCGAAAATACGGAGCCTCGGTTGTTGTGTGTACGTCATTGGAATTTTGGCTCTCGAATCATTTGCTACTCGGAATGGGTGATATGAAATAAGTTATGAATTAAGCGATAGAATGGGAAACGCGGTTGAATTGACACCAAGTTATACAACCAACTAAAAATACGAATCTGGTTGAGTGGCTAACGAAAAATGTGCGGCTTTGGAAATGTGTGTGTATACGCGCTACAATACAAGGGCTATTATCTCCTTGCTATTTGACAAAAACAAATGTAAGTGAGTCGTATCAACGCCGAACTGATAACTGTATAGAGCAGCGATCTTCGTTGTGGTGTTAATCATAGTCGCGAGTTCAATGTTTGTCTATCAACAGCTTCACACCTGTACGAGGCTGTTTGAAACACAGAAGAATGCCATCACCATTCAATGCGTCTGATTAGAAATTCGCATCAAACGAAGCAACGTAATTTAACTTTTTGTGGTAACACAACGATAAAATGCTACGTACCGCAAAATCGATCGACTACTCACAAAAACAATTCAGCACAATCAATCGTATTTAACAACAGCAAAGAAAGAGTGCCTCAGTGATATCGCTGATCAAACGAATACACAATCATCCAGCAGCAGCAGCAGTAGCAGCAGAAAAAAAAGAACATGCGAATTAATAGCGAAACCGAAAGAATCAAAGAAATAGATGCGATGAAACTGAGTCATAAACAAAGTTTAATCAAAACCAGAAGAACTGTCATTGTCAACGGGCCGAACGCTTTCAATTTCAGTGATAATACATGATATCATGAATGCAATCATACCAACAGCTAAATGTTGAAAACTCAATTCCCCGTCAATTTCAATTTACGGCAATAGTTCGCGCATTAATTTATATGCTGTACGAATGAAGGGTAGTCCTATGAGGAATGACTTTAGAATCTAAGCGATAAATGGGAAGAGAAAAATGAATAATAGACATGTGATGCTACGAATGCGTCAATAATTGAATTTATTTATGTAAAAACGCCTAAATGTAAATTTATTTCACATTTTTGCTCGGGACCTTCATTCTTGTACAACAAACATCGGAAATCCAATTGAAATGATGAATGAAAGCGTTTAGAATTGTTATTTCCCTTTGCATAGATACGGTTTTTTTCTCTCTATAATTTGGTAACCTCATTAAAATTTTGTAAAAACTTCCATATTCGAGTAATTTCTAAATATTTTTATCGTCACAATTTTTTTCCCTCTATTTTGCATAACAAATGCAAGAAGAACTTAAACTGTTGTCCCCAAACAAAACATGATGTTTGTATATTCAGCGATTTCCGCAATTTGTTCCAAATAAATTTTCTTGCATGCATGATCCAAATTTTATTTTATAATAATTCACCTGCTTCAATTTGACTTCAGTTTGAAACAATCCGTTGCAAGAGAAAGATCGTCGTTAAAATTGTGGATAGGGTGTTGTGTGATTTGTGATTTTTTCGAGAAAAAAAATTATTGCAAGCAAAATGTTTGCGTCGTACTGTTTGGCGTTTTGCTTTGTGGCATGGATTTCGGTGTGCAGTGGTGACGATGTGGTTGTTCAGATGTTCTCAAAGAAACCGACCAATTTCATCAGTGAGAAATTCATCAGTTATGCCATCGATCCGGTTCAACTGCTTGAAATGAGCAAGGAAAAAGAGTAAGTTGTCGAAAAATTGTTCGGCGAATAATCAAAAGGTCTAATGCTAAACTTTTTGAAACAGAGACGCTTTTGTATATCGAATGATGGAATCAGGTCCGAGCTATTTGAAAATCTACGGAAACAATACGAATAAAATGCGGTTGGATGGCGAATTTATCGATCTTAGCTCATCGAAATTATCGTTGGATCAACTAAAAAGTGTTTACGACGTCTTGCAGTGAGTGAATGTTCCTTTTCGATATTCTTCCATCTCAAAATATATTTCTTTTCAATCGGAATGATCTGATTTAATCTGATTCAATTGATTTTTTCTTCATTTTTTCTCTGTTCAGAACGGCTGACATCAAACCAGTGATTGCATTGCCGTATGATCCAAAGAATTGGAACACTCGGAATGTGATGAAAATTTTGGGGAAAGTTAGCAAGCTTGAAATGGACGATATTACATGGCAATTGGGTGCAGGTAAACTCCATTTTCCAAATAATCCGAACTTTGAAAATTCGGCAGCAAGATTCTCAAATTTGAAAAGAAATAAAACAAATCGACGATATTAAATGTTAACGTTATTGGCTTGTAGATTTTCACGCAAAAGACGCGATCAGCTACATTGACGATTTGAACACATTGAAATTGATTGTTGGTGCATTTGCCACAAAAGCGAGTAAGAAGAACTGGAGCGTCGTTGGCTCGGATATTACACTTGGTAGCAGCGAAGATGAGGCCAGAATGTACTCTGAGTTTTCGAAATACGTCGTTGATGCTGTCGGCTGGTCGCAGTAAGCTTGGAACATTTGCCTCTCAACATTTTCAATTGGTTTTCAACCATGTTTTTTTTCTCATTTCTAGATCAATCGATCTCAGCTATACCGATGAAAATGTCGATGATTTCTTCTCCAATTTGAATGTCGATCCAGCCTTGAGAACGATTTTGAACGGTGAACCACCAGTTTGGTTGTCACTTTTACAGAAAAATACCGACGCAAAAAATCCACTGACACAAATGAAACAAGGTTTGAACTGGGCACAAATTCTCGGTGATGCGGCTAAAAACGGATTCAAAGCTATTTTTGCACCAATCAATCGCCAAACTTGGTACGAACCATCAATGAGTTACTACATCACGTTGCTGCACAAGCGGATCATCGGACAAACGGTTTTTGATACGAAAATGTTCAACGGAAATCGCTTCGATTCTCACTTCTATGCACATTGTACTAAAAATATGAGTGGATCTTTCACCATTTTCGGTGTGAATGCAGGAGACTCAAGTTTGGACATAACGGCAAAGGTAAGCAAATATTTCTTTTTTGATATTTCTTCTCACAATTCACGTCATTTAATTTACTTTTTCTTTTCTTTTTCAGTTACCATTCCTATCGGGCACTGAATATTTGGAATTTATGTTGACCGTCGGCGTGAATGGCAAAGTGTACTTAAACGGAGCTGAAATCATTGAGCCCACCGTTCTGGTGCCAGTGGCAAAGTATAAACTCCCCGGAAAAGGTGCACTAATTTCGATGCCCGCACACTCAGTTGCATTTTGGGTGTTTACTGGTGCCAGCATTCCAGAGTGTGCTTCTGTTGAGCCAATTTCATTTGAAACTGACCAAACTCAAGTGGAAACCTCGTCGGAGCGTCTTCTTCAGAAATTGATTGTGGAATCGGTTGCAAGAGATGAAACTGACGCGCAATCATATAATAAAAACGCAATCAAACGCTCGAAACGCAGTGCAAGCATTGGAAAAGATGGTACAACCGATCGAATTCGCCGAGATACGGAGAATAGCATCGACAAGCACGGCGAGTATAATGCGATCGAAATAGTAGAAGAGAACGATGAAGTACAATCACGAGACAAACGCTTTATTGGTGACGGAAAATTTATCAATCGTATTTACAACGGAGTGGACGACATGAAGAGACGCAATTTACTCAGTGCGTACACAAGTAAGGTGGAATTACCAATGAAACGAATGAAGCGAGATATAAATATGCTCAAGAATTTGTTTGACAAATTCGATTTGAAGAAGTCAGCGTTCAATTTCAAAACACCAACATTGAAATTCGGCAGTAAGGGACTGATTCCATCAATTTCGACCGTACATGATGTTCTCAACGCCGAACCGATGGAGAAAAAACTGTTTGATCAAGTTGAAAATCCAGACTTACCAACGGGAGATGTTCATTTTGAATTAGCCGAGGCCGTTACCGAGCCAAATGAGTACGCTGCCGCTTTGAATGCAGCCAATCATATTGTTGAACAAGCACCGGCTTTGGATCCATACAGCAATACTGGTTTTGCACCACCGCTCGTTATGAGCCCATCACTCACCAATGCCGTTCCATCGTCCGTTTTGTTGGGCGAATTGACCGAAATGGATGTCAAGTCCGACATAGTCACCGTTGCCCCATTTCTAGCGGTACAACCTGCGCAACCGGTCCAACATCCCGCTACTGTGCAAACGGTTCAACCGGTACAACCTGCGCCACAACATCATCTGCAATTCATCGTAAAAAATCTCGAGCCCACATTTCAAATGAATCGCGAAAATATGGAAAAGGCTCGTAACAATCTTCGCCAAAATCTATGGCCAATGGCGACCAATGCACAGAGTGTTAATCCAAAAACGATAACCGCTTTCCTCCCAAATGTCGCCATTCAAGCTGCACAACCAGACGAGCATATTTTATTCGAGTCGAAGAGACGTCGTCGGCGTGCCATCAACTCCAAAATGAATGAGGAAATCGAACGACGTGTTCAACGAAATGCAATGAAGCCAACGCATGACCTTCGTCTTGACGATGCCATCGATCAAAAGCTGCTCGATAAAATGCTTCAATTGGTTGATAGATTGGAACGTAGCCAAAATAGTCTGATCAAAAATGATGCTGGAATCACGAACTTCTCTGGCCATACCATGGAGGAAACTGAGATTAGCGCACCAAAAAAATGCAAAGTATTGTCTATGGCCATGGAACAACAGTGCTTGCAATCGGAAACACGCCCAAGAGCACTTTTCAAGCGTGCAATTGATTACAAACGAACCAGGCCAAATGGACCGCTTCGAAAATTCTTGGCCAAAATCAAGGAAACCGTTGAAAAACCATTGAAATTTCGCACCAGACGATCAGTCTATTACAATGGAATTGATTCCGAGGAAAATGAAGTGAATACCATTTCAAAAAAGTTCAACGAAGAAGCAGTCTATGCACCACACAGGAAATATGTTTATAACATTCGTCGTTACGATCTGAAACGTGCAACCACTTCAACCACAACAACAACAACGACGACGACGACGACGACAGCCAAGCCAGAAACAACAACAACCAGACCAACAACTACCAGACCAACAACTACAACAACGGAAGAACCCGAAATGATCACCACAAAGGAGAAAATTGTTCCAAAGGTCTTGCGATCAATTAAAGGCTACGCAAACAAAATCACAAATTCGGTCGCCAAACATCTCGGACATTGGTGGTTTGCCCTATCATAATTGTACTGTTGACCATGATACCATGATTATTTACACTTGTATCGTCCATCTTCTGTTCCATTTAGTTAGTCTCTTTATATTTGTTCGAACTTTTTGTTTTATTTTTGAGTAAATAAAGTGAATCGTATTTATTTTAGTGATAATGGCAATCAAATCACTTTTTGTTTCATTTATTCGATTTTGTTCGATTCAAGGAAAAAGCGCATTGTTCGTAATTTTGTTTTCAGCGTCGATGTATTTATTTGGAATGCTATAAAATTCGTGCGAACATTTAAAGGTAAAAATGTGTATGTGGTGGTACGGCTTAAATTAAACACTAAAATCTAATCTGAAACTTATGTTTGTGGGAAAATTAAATCTATGCGAAAACTTATGGCTTAAAATGGCCCATAAGAAGAGAGAGAAGCGAACAGTTTAGTTTTTGTCAATTGAACCGCGTAAAAATAATTTAATTCTGGACACTCTTGCATATGGTTAGATTGGAATACACTTGAATCTGTCATTTATTTTGCAAAATGGATGAATGCCAGAACGGTGTCAACCACGTACAAAGCTCCGGACAGAACACACAGTGAACCAAGCACCAAACCGACCTGAAAAGAAATGATTGAAAATAAAATGTTTCATTCCGTTTCTGCAAGAAGCATTCAAAATGTGTCGATTGTACTCACGGTACGTTCATGAACGACAACCAATTGATCGTGATCAGCCATATAGCCTTGCCAGTAATGCAATGCGGTGGCACCAACTGACACCCACATGAAAGCACCAACAACATTCATGATTGTGTCAGAGAGCTCTCTATTCAAACGCCATGAAATCGAAAAATCGGTATTAATCCTCATTCATTGTTCTAGAATTTATTATTCTTTTGGATTTGCCAAAGACATCCCCACATCAATGTTACCTCTTGTGCTTTGTGGTACCGAACAAATATGCGATCATTTGAACTCCAGTGTAAACAAAGAAGCCAACAAACACACCGGACGCAATGATTTCAGCGTCAGCACTTTTCTCTTCGTTTAGGTTCCATGTGCCACCAACTCCAAGGAAATCGCCAGCGTATCCAAAGCGATACATCAACAAGATGACCAAATTGATTACCTGAATAAAAAATGATGGTGACGATGAGTCGCATATGTGTAATTCGAAGTCGATTATTTTTTCATGTATTTGGTAATGGGTGTGGTATTCATTAGTCAGCTCGAATGGTTTGAACTTTATACTAAATGAATATCCACATTATTGTCTTGCATGATTTTTTTTTCTTTTATAAATATTTTTGTTTCTTTCAAGTTTAGATTGACACTTTTTTACAAAAAAAATAAAATACTCACCAATTTGAACACCTTCAAAAATATCGATCCGACCGTTTCCACTGACACCATTTTTTTCGTCTCTTAATTTCGTTACTTTGATTTATGCTTACTTTTCAAATTTATTGTCCACAATATTTCGTAAACACTGTGCTAATTAAAGATTGGAATTTGGATTGTTTTTTTGTTCTCGCTCTCTCATGTAGCGCGAAATTTCAACCAGAATAATGGAATCGCAACTTAGTTCGTTGGTATGCAATGAATGTTCCACACTTTTGGTCGAATTTTTTTAAAATGAATGTATCGCAAAATTGAAGCACGACAAGTGAGTCGAGAACAATTCAACTTTGCTGAAGGCATATCATTTGAGTTTACGATGATAACCCGCCATTGATAAGATAAGATAAGTATGAATACATTCTAAATGGTATCATGCGCATGAAATATTGAATTGTATTCACTAGCAACGATGGTACACCTATGTGAAATCGTATACGGAAAACAAATTCTACATTCAACACCATTCAATGAGTTTTCGAGTTACCTTTTCGGTGGAAAACAGAATGAGTGTGTGCAAGATAAAAATGCTATGCAATGTTTAGTGTTTGTAAACGCTGGCCTATTTTTATTTTCGTTGTGACTTTTTCTTCGTCGAGATATTTGGTTGTTGTTTGGCTTTGCTTTGAAAAGTAAATTTACACACTATTTTCGAAATCAGCACCATAAACTACATGTCCAGCAAAATTTGATTTGAACATTTTTTGTTTGTGTTTTATGCGTACGCGACTCACTTTCTGACATTCATTGCAAGGTGTGTGTTGAACACCGCTTAGTCATTTTTGTGTGTTTGATGGTATAGACTTAGCACATTCATATCAACTTAATCAGGTGCCATAAGAAAACTTGTGAAATTCTATGACTAACACTAAATATGTGTCATTGTGAAAAGGCTCATAGTATTCCTATTGGCCACAGTTCAAAAATGTGTCGCTTTTAAGCTTCGTAACATGTGTTCATCAGTTCATTTTCCCAAAGTAACAGCCATTGTAAATGGATAGAACGAATAAACGCTGATGAATCCGCTAGTTGAAATACGCATGAGTCATTCATTCGTTCAGTTTATTCCCCTTGCGGTGATGATGGTGATGGGTTCATGAATCCCATACCGTTGGACACGGCATTGCACAACGTTAAGTAAAATAAGTTTTGAATGTCATTTGGCGAACGTTGGTTCTCATGAACCAACAAATGAATTGTACAACAGCCAAGTGGTGGACGAGCGCATCAGTGCATTGACACTTGAAATTACGAATTTAACACCATAAAACTCAAACTGTGTAAATCCATTCATTCCCACTGTATAGTATACGTGTGTGTATATGTATATTGTACATTGTGCATTCTCTTTATCATTTGTTCCTCTTGTGCAAACGATTCGTTCGTTTAATGTTCTTTACCTGTTGCAAACCATGCCATTGTCATTGACTTTGCTCAACTCATGAAACTGGACGGGAACTTGACTTGACTCGAATAGAAACAATATGATGTTGCCAATTTTCATTCAATTTCCAATGAATTTATACACAACTATGCAGTTTAGTCGGTCGATTGGTCAATCGAGGAGAGCATTTCATTCCTAAGCTAATGTTAATATGAATGGAATAAGTGTCGAATAATAATCAAATAGCCGTCGCATTCATGCTGATACAAAACTCAGAAATTGATTCGTGGAATTAATCATTCGATTTCGGGGCCATGGAAAATGCACTGGCACACGAACATTCAGCAACGTCTCTGCACTTGAAAATCCTATCAACGTCATCATCTTGATAGAGTTCGAAAGAGAAACAGAGGGAGAGATAGAATATAAAAAAGCCTTCTCATGCCAAGAACACATCAAATGCTGTATTCAAAGTAGAATACGAGTATGGAAAGGAAGGCGCACGAATGAACCAAAGAATAAATACATGAAAAATAAAACAGAAAAGCACATACACAGAAACCTAATAAAAAAAAAACGTAAACGAGCACATGCAGAAAGGAAGAATGAAACAAACTAGTGCTTTCCTCATACTAAAAGAATAGAAAATGAAAAACCAAACTTGTAAAAAAGAAATGATAGCGAGTGCAAGCATTCATGACACAAACGCCAATGAGAAAACATAAAATTTCAGCGCGGGAAAATGTCGACAAAAGGAAACGAACAAAGAGAAAAAAACACACACACAAGAAATTGCCAGCAAAGACCAAAACAGAAAAACCATCAAACTTTTAAGAAATAGAATTTGATGTTGTCAAAAGTATATTATTTTGTCATGTGTATGTGACTACACTTCCCAACCACCGATTTGTTTTTTGTTTCTCATTTTTTTTTCAGTTTGGTTTGGTTTGTTTCGTTCGTTCGTTCATTCGTTCGTTTTGTTCGGTACTCCACCACTTGACATTGTACTCTTTCTCCATTTGTTCGTCGTCGCATTCAGTGTTTCAACGAATCTTTCGATACAGCCATTCTGTATATGTTTGCGGTGTTGTTTACGTCCATGACATTTTGTCTATTTGTTGTGCTTTTTTTTCCTTCTCTTCATTTTTCCTGCCTGCCTGCCTGCCGACGAACATACTCTTCGATACATTTATTTGGGAACAAGAAAATCTTGTTTTGAAATTGGATATGAGAAACTTTATTCTCTCACTGGATGGTGTGACATGGATATACACTCGATGAAACTAAAATGACACACGATTCATGTGCATTCGGCGTATGTCGTAGACGAGAGAAGAAGAAGAAGAACAAAAAAGACAACAGTGAGCAAAAATGCGAAAGATTTGAGTGTGCAATGAAGAGGCTGAAATACGTGTACTTGCTCAGTGTTGAAGAAAAAGAGAACAGCAACAAACAAAAATCAGTTAATAAAACACCAATACGAAAAATGTGGGAACAATGTAGATGTAAAAATTGTCGTCGTCGTCGTCGTCGTGCTGAAATTCATTCTCAGGTGAAGTGAGACCGAGAGGGAAATAGAGACAAGAGCGTTGTCTTGGTGGTGGCTGGCAATGGTAATGGTGGAAACTTGTGTGAGGAAAATAAGAAGCAACAGCACGACGAGGAACGAGGAAAAAGTAGAAGCAAAGGAAGTTTTGTATTGTCGGTACGTGGGCCGACATGGTCTATATATACATGTGTGTAAAATGCAATCACAGTTAGAAAGAAAATCGACTGATGAAAACAATAGAACGAAGAAAAAGCGCAAGATCTAATGAAATTGGGATGATGAATCTAGTGCTGTTCTCGTTCTGCTACTAGCTACTGTTTCCACGCTTTCAAAAGAAACGGAGAACACGAAGAAAGAAAAGCATTTCCGCACGATTCGTGCTTCAGATTTCCGTTTGTCACCTGAACCGAAGCCCACACAGCGCTTTGAACAAATGTAATTGAATTCATTCTTGTTGCGGTGACAAGTTAAAGTCTTTCGAGTCGTGTTGAGTTGAACTGAAATGCTGACAACACAAAGTTTTATTTCTCATCTGTTGATTTTTAGATGAGTTCAATAAGAAATGGGAGAAATCTATCGGATTCAAATCTTTGATTGTAATAAACAATTTTTACGGTCACACATGGATTGAATCACTTGGCCACATATGTGCTATGCCATTTTGGTTTTTGGCTAGTTTTGGTTGGATATTAATATGACTTTATATATGGTGGTGTGGCAGACACATTTGGTACCCAACCGAATTGTTTGCTCGGCCTCTCTTCGATGACGAAGACAGTGCTTCGAGCAAATTGGAATTTAACATATCCATTGCATTATGCAATGGCAGTCAGACAAACAACATCAAAGGAAACCCATACCTATGAACACGAGAACTTCGTCTTCGCAGCACATTTGCATCTTTGAATTCTTTCTTCGGCTCGAAAGTGGATTCCTTTTTTATTCGCTTTGGTTTCAATTTTTTTTTTCTAGGGTCTGTGATTAATAAAATCCAATTACAAATCTCAAAGGTTGTTTTGCATTTGATCGATTGGGGAGCAACAAAACGGGCGCCGCAAATTTAAACGGCAAAATAATCGAAATATTTTTTTCTTCTTCGAGAATTCACGTATACATCGAAATGGGGAAAAGAGATTTGCAGCAGCAAACGGAGAACAGAATAGAGAAAAAGAATGTGTGTTTGACTTAACGAAGAAAAACAAAAAGGAGCATAATCCTTGGTCGAACTACATGTACACATATTTGTTGTATGTTCTTAAATTTGAATGCGCCGTCACTGCAGTTCAAATTAAGAAACTATTTTTTTTTCTTTCAATTTTGCATCTCCATTTCCAATTTTTTTCCTTCTTTCTCCATCTTTTGCTTTCTTTTTTCTCGATTTCAATTGTTCCATGCGAAAATCGTATTCTTTTTTCTGTTGGCATTTGCTTTGGAATGTCATCAGTTTTATTGTCTGTATGAAATCTACGGATATGTATCCGTACTCCCTCCGATTTTAAATTGCATGCCTCGAAACGAATGGGAAAACAAGGGAAAAGGAACGGAATCAATTTGATTTTGTGAAAAGCGACTGACTGAGTGACTTACGATGCGACGGCATCGACGACGACGAAGACAACGACAATTGATAATTTCACAATACAAAAATAAAGTTCATAATACGTTATTTTAAATTGCTTTTGGCTATGCTTTTCCCATTACATTTCCTGTAAATAATTCTTGTAATTGAAGTCTGCGACTTATCGAAAACGTCAAACCCGATGAATCGAGATATCCGGTACGTCTCATCCTGCTCCTTTGTCATTACGCTGCTATTCCCACTCCATTTGTACCATGAGCATACGACGTACGCGCTATAGTAAACATGGAAAAGCAAGAAAAAATAACATGGTACATTGTTCGAGATAGACACAATTCTTTGTTTTGTTCAAACATGAATCCGAGTAGCAATTCGCGTGTTCAAACGTGCGATCGGACTTTTCTATCTGCTGGCATATGTTAGCTCTGCTGGTTAGAACAACGCCTACAGTTCAACGGTGTAAGACTTTCAACCTTTCATTTGACCTTCAAGACATTAAGAGGTGTTATCGAATTTAATGAAGGGCAAAATTGATACTAACTCATACGTACATTGAAGCGACATTGTTTAGATTGGCTTATTGACTCTATGACAACTGAAAATAACTAAATGGATTTTCGCATCCGTGTCGAGCAGCAAATCTCATTTGAAATTGCAACATTGTTCGAATCATATTATTTCATATAGGTGAACATTTGGTTATTCACATTCACATTCAGGTACACACACACACACAAGGCTGCGTCCGCTATGCGATATAAATTATTTTTGTCTGCTTTGGACACACACTTTAATAACAGCTCATGAACAAATGATTTCATTACATTGTTCGCGGTTATCAGCGCCAATGGATAGATGGTTTGCAGCAGGCAAAACCACATTTATCTGCTTTGAAGTGTTCGCTATGCGAACGGCAAATGTGGTTAACGTACTGTTTGTCAAAGCGACCACATTCTAGGTTCAAAGAAACCTACGTGCTTACTCGGAAACTAGTTGAATAGTGTATCTTAGATGGAAATCGTTAACTAGGAACAATGTCATTCTTGCACCGTTCATGAAATCAACAGGAACTTTGATTATGATGTATATTATGTGAACGACATCAACCATATTTTCTTTTCTTTCCGAATTCTCTAACGCAATCGCGCATTTCAGCACTTCTCATGGCTGCATCTAATCGCTATCGGAAGTTGATTATGTACATGCGAATTAATAAATAATTAAAAATAACGGCATATAAATGTTGGGATTATTTACAATAGTATTTTGGTGGAAACACCACGGCCAAAACTCATTGCAGACAGTCTTCTGGTCTGAGTGCATATAATAATATAACGAAAAATGCATTTGACGATATTTAAGCTATAAATTCAATCAAAATGCTCATTTATATCCGATTGCGAAGTGGAAAGCAGTGATAAAACGGAAAATTCAGTGAATGAAAGACGAAATTAAAATGCCATTTCTGTTTTATCATCGTGGAAATCTATTAATTTTCAAAATGATTTGCCCGTTCGTTCGTTCATTCATTCAAGCTGATGTGCACGGGTTTCGACGTTCGATTGAATTTATTAACGTATTTTACTCCATTCTTTCCACTATTTCGTCATTGTTATTATTTATTTCGCTTGATCGGCAACGGCGACAGCAGCGACAGTGATTTCGATTCAAAATAGTATCTCGAGTCCTCACAGCTGCTCGTGCCCAATTTCAGACAACAATACACATCTCAACGGCCATACACATACACATCGGTTTGTATACAGTTCGAAGATCATACGATGAAAATTAAGAAAATTAAATCAAAGTGTGCTTGTGCTGTCACTTGGAATGTGCGCTTTCCACGCGCGGTATGACGACAAGAAATCCAAATGGTGTCCGGGTGATAACATAAATACGCACGCAATGTCAGTTCATTGTACGGTAAAGTGATTTCAAATGAAAAACGAAAATCAAAATGAAAATAAACGTAAAATCAGTGAATCGGCAGCATATTGATATCTCAAACTGTGGTTCATACCAATTGAAATCTGTCCGTTTGGAAAAAAAGGAGAACCAACGAACGAACGAACGAACGAACACTCCGACTTCGTCTCTCTCTCTTCGCGTCTCTTCTCTGCTGCTAAACTCGGTCGGTGTATTCAGGATTGCTAGTGCTTAGTAAATGGATACAGATAGCATTTGGATTATTGCGAATGAAATAAATTGATAAAGGTCTTTATTATGGAATTCCGTTTCATTCTTTTGTTCGTCCACATTTTGTTCTCATGTTAGCATTTCACGTTCGATGACACGATTATTATATTGAACGCATACAAAACAAGAAAGAGACAGTGATAGAGAGAAGAATTGAAGGAGTCACGAATGATTATGTTACGATTGATTTTTGAAGATATTCTCATCATAGCCGCTGCTGCTGCTGTCAAGCGTTGTTGTCAGCACAATTGCCACAGACAAAAAAGGAATTGGGAATTGTAATTCGCTGAACGTGAAATGCGATATGGAGAAATTATCTTTCCGAAATATTAACAAATCAAATTGAAAATAAAGATGGATGGTGTCCTTGTCGCTCCTTCATTTCCAACAGTTTTATTCTTTTTTCCCTTGTCCCGCTTGCTGCTTGTCTCATGAAATATATGTGCCGCACAGCACATGGTCTGTTATGTTGCACGAACTATGTCCATATACCTACAATTATATATCTTTTTAGTAGCAAAAAAAAAGTTTTTTAAAATTAAAAAGAGATATTTACGTATACGTGAAGAATTACCAACATGAATTTAAAAAAAACATGCTCATAAAACTGTGTTTTGCCCGAGGGGAAAATCACTCTAGAAAATTACTTTTTCGGTTCACAAATTACTTTCACTATTACTTTTTCGAAGAGAATTACAAATTACTTTTTATCATAGAAAAATATATTTTTGACAAGTAATTTCTAATAGAAAAGTAAATTATCAAATAAAAAGTAATTTGTAGTAATTTTTAGTCGAAAAACTACATTCAAAATTACTTTTTGTTCAACGAATTACCTAAAAACTACTTGTCAAATAGAAATTATTTTTGAGTGATTTCCCCCTCGGTTTTGCCTCAAATCTAAGGCAAAATAGTGAAAAGGCAATAAACAATTCATCAAATAGTGTCTATGGTATTCTTATATATTCACATGAGCAAAAATAGACAAGAAAAATAGTAAAAAAAAAGGACTTGGAGATGCCGAGCATTGATCTCGGTACCTCTCACATGCTAAGCGAGCGCTCTACCATTTGAGCTACATCCCCGGTTGATGTAGAAGCGACGATATGCACATTTCTCTTGACGCACGGCTCGTTCAAAATGCTAATAACGAAGAAGAAAAAACAAAACAGTTATTTTGTAACAAACCATTTACGCTCCGTTTAAATGACATTTTATGCGTGCGTAAGTGAATTCAAAGAAAGATGACACCAGGTTTATTTGATTTTTTCTTCAGAAAGACCATTCAGACACGCGGTTCAAACAATCATTCCCTTAATCTAATTTGTCATTGCCACCAGTGCAGCACAGTTTAAATCAATATTTCAAAACAAAAATTTTATTTATCGGCAGCGGCGAGCATGAATTTCCTCTCTTGAATAGAGAATTTACAATAATTTTGACACCTTTCGAATTGGGCTATTTATACATAAAATCTACATGGTAAAAAAATAGTGTGATTTTTATGAAGAAAATCATGAGATTTAGGTTAATTTGACGCATTCTATTCGTTTGATAACAACGATACACCGATTGGCTCTGAATCAAAGAATAAAAGAAATGAATATTGAGTTCGTGACTGAACTGCGTTTCAGGTGTATGCATTGACATATAATTCAATAAGCAACGACGGCTTCCTTGCTCGTTATTTGAGAATAAAATCAGTTCGTCTGCAATGTTAGGTACATTGAAGAAGAAAATGAAATCAAAGATTAAATCCCTTTCCGAGTTGAATTTCGATTTAATTTTCAATATAATATAAAAATTGTACGCATTTATTTATTGTACCGATACCGCAAGTCGAAACGAAGAAATACCGCAATCTAAAGAAAATCTACTACTTCATTTTGTCAGATCATCCAGCCATTATACCGAAAACGGAATATGAACCGCAAACATCGCAACAGTTGTATAATGTATTTAGATTGGAGTGAGACGACAACATAGGCCTGTAAGAGAAAACTTTGACATTCGGTGCCAAAGATAAGTTTCATTCAATTGACAAAAAAAAAAACAAAGTCTTCTCGTAAATAGATGAAAAAAATATATCGAAAACACAGTCACATAAATAGTTTGGGTAAGATTTCAGCACAGAGTTTTAATACCATCGGAAAAAGTCGCGTTCCAGCCATTATTTTTTTTTGGTGGAAAAAAAAATTTGTGCGTTTCACGAAATTAAATTGAATTGCTTTGCCGTTGATATGCACGAAATTCAGTAACTGCGATTGATTTATCACCTTCAAGGGCTTACACACTCTCTCTCTCTCTCTCTGTGTGTGTGTGTGTATGTGTATTTGTGCAATTAAGTCGATATAATCATTTTGGTCTCATGTTTTGGTGTATTTACTTTTTATTTTGTTGTTGTTGTTGCAAAGTTATTATTTAGTAGGCAGTCGATACGTGTATTACCTCATCGATTTCGAGTGCATTTCCAATGAAGGAAGTGAACAACGATATTCAGCCATCAACATCAACCACAGATGCAAATCGGCCAATAAAAAATGAGGCCAACAAAAGGAAACGTCGTGCCTCGGATGCGGCTGAATCGAATTTATCGGCCAAGCGTTTCATAGCCCCGGCCGAAGAAGATGATGGCGTATTCAAATTGCTTGATTTCACCGATGAAGTGCTTTTGGAAATCCTACAAAATTGTGAGAGCACCACACTATATGCACTTTCCAAGTGAGTGTCATAACGATTACGAAGGGCAAACCCGTTTTCTTGTCATCATCATCATAAATATCGGTTATTGTTTGAATATCATCATTTGTTGATTGTTTTATTTTAGAACATGCAAACATTTTTTGAAATTGGTCGAAGACCGTCGCCTCTGGAAAACATTTGATTTTGCAACGAAACGGATGATGGGACGGCAAATAAAGAAACTATTGTCTGCGCTACAAATTGGGGACATCAACGAATTCAAGGTGCGTGGCTTCGTCACAAAGTATCCGTCAGAAAAGTGGAAGAATAATACAATCACCGTGAAAGTCTTGCGAAAATTGTCTTCCTCTTGCCAATGTCTTGAAACAATTGAAATTCGTGAAGGCTACATCAACTTTCAAAAGGTAAACATTTGGACTCTATTGATTCGAATGCGTATTCAAAATCTAATTTGATTTATTTTTTTTTTCGCATGCGCTTAGGTGAAAATTTCCGACTTTCCTGCGACACTGAAACACTTGATATTTTATGGTTGCCAAATAACGTTGCCACGCTCGCCCAGACTGTTCACCAAAATCGATGAATACCTTCAGTTGCTGGAGGAAATCTCATTAGAAAAGTGCCCCTGGTTCGAAACACATGATCTCGTTGTTTTCTCCAAACTGCCACATTTAAAGCGACTCAATCTACGCGGATGTTCCACACTCAAAGGGTGTGTTCCATACGGCAGCATTGCCACACGATTTGGATTCAAGAGCCTAGAGGTAAGCAAATACGGGTGAATTAGAGTGACAAAAATTAATTTTCCATTTTTTTTTCTACGTCTAGTATTTGGACGTACGCGATACACCGATTTCTGATAGTGATATTCAATGCTTCAATATCACGTCAACGCTACGTGAAATCAAAATGGATTGCCCGGCTGAGTTTCGCGAAAATTATATATCAACCGATGAAACACCTTCCGATACCGATGACAGTGAATCATACGAACCAAAACCACGGAACAATGACTCTACCGACGAGTCGGCGAAACATTTGGGTGAAAAAAGTAAACACAATAGCAACAGCAATAAGGAAACACATCGGCAAGATGATAGCATTGTATCGGAAAGTGAGCCTGAATCAGAGGATGAATCGGATTGTAGCACAGACAGCGAAGATGGCAATAGTGATGGTGGTGAAGATGGTGGAGCCAAAGTAAGCGGTAATAACGATGATGCGAATGCACCACATCAGGCTCACTGTATTCAAGTGATATTGCAAAATGGCCGAATGATAAATGTCAATGCCGAACGGTCTAACGAGTTTGATAGTCCGATACGTGAAACAAACGGACTTCACTGTGTCATTGGCATAATCAATGGGAGAGGTACTTGGTTGATCATTTACTCACTCGATTATCATTGTAATATGTTTTTAATCCTTTTTCATATTAGACTCGAACGATCGAGTCTTTGCAGCACCACTTCGATGCCAAAGACAATCGGGTAATCAGCATCAATCTGCTGATAACCAGAGCCAAAATGAATCGAATGCACCGTCAACCCCAAAAAAATGCAACCATGGTTCGTCCTCGTCTAGTTCCGAAAAATCAAAGTCTCCACAAACCGATAGCAAAAATACCGCGACAATTAGCACGAACACAAATGCAAACACGGATGGTGGTAGTCAACCGGGACCGTCAGGCCTTCAAACAAATCAAAATGATTCCATAAAAGCAGCCAAATCAAATTCACAGGAAAATGCAAACGCAAATGCAAACACGGATAATAATGCAAACGATGAGGCTGGCCCATCGAATCGACAACAGCCGGCAAATCCGCCAAATGAAAACCGACAACGATTGATCATTGTACAGCACCGACGATCGCCGAATAACGATGAAAATGGCAACATGAATAGGTAAATTTCAATGAAAATTACTCAATGCCAATTCAAGCAAAATTTACTGTTCTAATAAATTCAGAAATTGTTCATTTTCCCCTCTATTGAATAGACAAATTTCGTGGGAGGTGCGAAATTTGTATCCGATTGCAGACGCACCATATCGTACGATGCGGTACCACAACACAATGCTCAACGGTAGTGGTAATTATATAACCGACAGAGGAATGTGTAGCTTTGGCATGCCACGGCACAACGTACAAGAAAATATCATTTGGATACGAGCTGAACTACGACCGCCAGATACGTTGCTCGAACGGATCACTGTTCGGAATTATTTGGATGTTACCGGTAATTTTAATGGAAAAACGACCGCTTCTATTGAAAACCGAATTTTTGGCACTATGAAAAGTTTCAATTGTGCCAAAAAAAATTTTTTTTTAATTTTCTGATTTTAATTTATTTCCAAAGAAACCTCAAGAGATGGCTTCGTTGAAGCGTACCTTTTGACAATAGAAACCAATCCTCCATTTGGAGTTTATGATCACTTTGTGTTAATTCTTTGCTTCAATCATATTTTTAACTTCGCCTCAGAATTGCTACTTTTTATTTTGCATTTTTTTTCACAAACGAATCATTTGTCTCTCTTCAAATTTAGATGTCACCCTGCGCCATTTAGCCCTATGCGCTCCCAATCTTCGATATTTGGATGTAACCGGTACCTCGGTCACATTAAAAGGTATTACCACCTTCCTGAAGGAGAAGCCCGACTGTCAAATTATTTCGGAATTACTTGACACATAGTCGTAAACCATATAAATAAAATCGGGAGCAAATGCAAAAGGGAGGTTTATTTTTTACCAGGAACGAACAAAACAAAAAAGAAACGAAATTGAAATGAAATTTAAAAAAAAATCAAAAGCTCAACACAAATGAAAGCATGATATTGACGTTCTACAATGATATGCGATTTACGATCGAACAGCTGTCTGTGATTGTAAAACTGTAAATCAAAGCATAACGTAATTTTTAACATTCGTCATTTCTAAAATAGAACCGTTGGCGAATGAAAGGAATGCCGGATAAAAAGAGAATGGAAGAATACACAACAGAAATAATAATCATTTTCATATTTTTTTCATATTTTTCATTATTTTCTTCTCAAACAAAAACAACTACTACTATGTATACAGTGCATTTTTGCATTGAATTTAGGAATTAAACGAAAAAATTGAATAAATTGCAAAATTTAATGCCGTATTATTATTAACGAATATATGATCGTGAATACAATTATATCTGCACATTTTGATAAGAAGAGAAATTGAAATACAAATTCAAACAAATGGAGTAAGTATGAGTATATCCTGTGATGAGTACATTTAATAATCGGCCGCTGTATTCGAAAGATAGTCGCGACGTCCAATATTTGAGGCTTGCTTGTTTTGTACAGCTTCCAATTTTGGACACTCGGTAATTCTGTGACCCAGACCACCACAATAGCTGCAACCCTGTGTATCTCCCACTTCCAAAAGTTGTTCGCTCTCGGAGCAAAGTTCTGCCAAAAATGGTGGCACTTTCTGTTTGGCCTCGATCAACAAATGCTTGAGATCCAGAAGCACCGATTGTTCGGTGGCTTTGTTTAAGAATGTGGTGGCCAAACCCTTTGTTGATGAACGTCCCGTTCTTCCAATTCGATGGACGTAGTTTTCGACATCGTCTGGCATATCGTAATTGATTACATGCTGTACGTTCGAGAAATCCAAACCCTTTGAAGCGACATCAGTGGCAACCAAAACATCTTTGATCTGAGAACGGAATGCTTCGACCGCTTTTGAACGTTCCTCTTGATCTTTGCCACCATGAATTGCGACAGCTTCCACACCTTTCAGCAATAGGTATTCGTGAATTGCGTCGACATCCTGTTTCTTTTCAGCGAAAATCAATACTGGTGGTGGAGTTCGTTGCAAGCATTCCAAGAGGTAAACAACTTTAGCTTCCTGTTTCACGTATTCAACATCTTGTATGACATTCATCGATGCAGCACCCGCTCGTCCCACATTTATCGTTATCGGTTTCACCAACGCAGATCGAGCAAAATTCTAAAGCAAATGAGAAATGAAACAATAAGTAAATATTGAGCGAAATAACCACCAGTGATAGTAGAAATAAAGTGTTTTGCTTACTTGAATCTTTTTGGGCATAGTAGCTGAGAAAAGTAGCGTTTGTCGTTGTCCCTTGAAGTAGGAGAAAATGGTTCGCACATCTTCTTCAAAGCCCATGTCAATCATTCTGTCCGCTTCGTCCATGCACAAATATCGGCACACTCGCAAATTCACCATTTTCTTATCCAGCATATCCATCAATCGGCCTGGTGTTGCAACCATAATGTGAACACCTTTCTGAATGGTTTCCATGGATTCGGTGACGGGTACGCCGCCAATAGCCAAACATGAACGCACCTCAGGCAAACCATCTTGTTTCAAACTATCGCAGAAGAATCGAACGATTTCATGCGTCTGTTTGGCCAATTCACGTGATGGACAAATGACCAAACCATACGGTCCTTCGTTTCGAATAAATGGTAAGCAAACCTCCTGTTCGACGCAAAACATTATGATCGGTAGAACGAAGACCAATGTCTTTCCCGAACCAGTAAATGCAATGCCAATCAAATCACGACCCGATAAAATCGTTGGAATCCCCTGCACTTGGATCGGTGTTGGTTTCTTGATTCCCTTCTTTACGAGTGCCAACAATATCGATTTGGGCAATTTCATCTCTTTGAATGTTCGAATGGGCGGTGGAATTTCTTCACCTTCAACGAGAATGCGATGTTTTTGACGGATTTCATCCAGTTTAAATTTGGGCATGGCGAGAATGTGTCGTGGTGGTTTCCAACTGGTTTCAATGGGATCTTCGTATACGATAGCTTTGGCCAATTCAGAGGCAGCCATCAATGCCTTTCGTTCGGCAACACTTTCCAAAATCTTTTCTTCTTCTTTCAGTTGCTTTTCGACGGCGCTAATTTTCTTTGCTTCGGCTAATTTCTTGAGCTCCGTGTGCTGATCCAACAAACTGATGTTGTATTTACGTCCCAACACCTCCTGGCTCTGTTCGTTATCACTTTCATTTTCGCTGGACGATTTATTTGCATTTTCGGCAATGTGTGCTATCCGACCCAATCGCATCAATTCGTGTTTCTTACGCTCTCGAACCGGCACATACGGCACATAATTATCGTCATCGCTGTCTGAATTTCTCTTCTTTTCCCCTTGCTCCTCACGACGATATCTCTTTTTAGCTGGCGATGGTGATGACATTCTTCGTCTCAATTATACTTAGAACAAATTTATTCAATAGAAAATCGTAAAATTCACAAGCGACAATAATTCACACACTTTGCAAACGTTTAGTTTTGTTTACTCATTAGGCGATGGGTGACATTGACATATCGTTTGACAGTAGATGTGCGTGTTCGCCATTTTTATTTTTTCTACTCATTAGTATTGTAGCTAAAACATCAAGCAGAAAACGTGTGTACAACAAAAAAACATCGTTTACTAAGTTTCTTCTAGTTTTATTTTCGAACAAATCCTAGTAAATTGTTTTACAGAGCTAAAAATGAGTTTTCCAACAAATTGGGATGTCAATCGGTACAAAGCCGATTATGAGAGTGATGAGCATTGGGAACTACGAAAGGCATTCATCGATGCGCACAAAGAAAAATTCCCCGAAAACGAATTAGTGTGTTTGGCTCAGGTGTTCACCAATATTGAGTTTCTTGGCTGTAAATATCCGAATAAAACCATGGAACGCGTAGCACATTTGTCGAAAGATGTTGCAGCCAAATTCCGTGAATTGCGAAACGGTCGGCTCAAGCGAACGTTCGTTGGGGCAAGCGATGCGGCTAGTGCCAAAGCCAAAGGTAGAAAACGAAAGAATTGTCAGTATTTTACAGCTCTGAATATCACTCACATCGATTTATTTATTTGAATTTTAATTGAAATTTGTTTTTCTCTGAGTAGGACGTAATTCACAAGCCACAAAGACAATCAATCAAAGTACAAGTCAAAGAGCAGCATTTCCATCGCTTCAAAGTTCGTTTCGAAAACTAGAACCATCCGCAAATGATGAATCCACAAGCAGTACAAATACAAATACAGTTGATAATTCAAAAAAGCGTAAAATTGCCCCAAAATCCGACGATGACAGCGATGATGGCGACATGCCTCGTCCGAGCTTCTCAACGAATCCATTATACGAAAACACAACCCCAAAACAGAACGAAGATGCTGCTCCATCTAACCCAATCCAAACAAAACCACCAGCGCTGAAACAGACAAAACGCATACCAAACACCGGTTTCATCATCTACGAAACCATTGCTCAATCGGACCAACAACAAAGTATCAACATTCTACAACAAAGCGCCGCAAAACAGGGATCCACGGTAAAGTGTGACGTCGAAGTATGCCAATCCGATGCAACGACACTTGAGTGCGTTGTTCGAATCAATGGCACCGTTTATAGTACTGCACCAATTACAACCGGCAAAAAAGAGGCCAAAGTGCAAGCATTCGACTTGGCACTGGAGAAGGCGAGAAAAATCCACTACACAATTAAAGTAAGCAAAATCAAATCTGAATGCAAGAAAGAGAATCGATTTCCGAACTAATTTGAAAAACACAAAAATTCTCCTTTTGTTTAGCAAAAATCGGTGCATACGGTGAGTGTTGATGTCGAACAAAATGGTAATGATACAAGCGCAGCCGCGAACAATGCACAAAAGATACAGCTAGATGAAGGTAATAAAGGCTTCAAAATGATGAAAATGCTTGGATGGACGGGCGGTTCGCTTGGTATTGCCGGAAATGGTATTGAACAACCGATCAGCATCGAAATGAAGGTTGATCGAAGTGGACTGGGGCTGTCGGATTCGACAAAACTCAACTACAACTTTTTTGTAGACTATTTGACCAAATACAAGACTAACGAATCGGCCACATATGATCTAGCATTTTCCAAAGAATTCACTAAGGATGAACGAAAAACACTCCACGAGTAAGTATCAATCGATGAAATCGTTCATCGTTTGAGAGGTAAACTAAAATTGCATTTTACATTACAGAATTGCCAGCCGCTTGGCATTGAAATCGAGAAGCCATAACACCGCCGACGGATCACGATACATAGTAATATTCAAAAAATTAGAGCTCGTCGATTTGGCAAATGAAATTTTGAACGGTGGTCTTAGATCCAAATGCTACGAATTGATTGCGCCCACTGAGCCAAAGCCCGAACAACCGGTAAAATTGCAGAAAGTATTACCGCCACATTTACAGCAGCGCAAAGCAAACAAAATTGGATTCAATTACGCACAACAAAATCAACCGAATCGCAACCAGAATCGGAACCAAAATCAAAAGCAAAAACGAAAGAAATTTTTCTGAATTTCCATAAAAGTTAGATAGGATCTGAAAGATATACTGTGAATTTGTTGGTTCAAAACAAACACTACTCTCTCTTTAACATGTACAATTTGATTGATTGGCTTGAATAATAATTTACAGCCGTTAAGAGATTTAACTTAAGACTCATAATAAATACATTTATGTGCAGCGAATACGAATTGCGTTATTTGTTCGGTTCAATATGGTACTGTTTATGCTCTCTGTCTATCCAACATAGTTCAAAGCATACATCATATGTATATCATCATCTACACTATGGAAAGTCGATCAAGACCATTTATTGTCACAATCATAAAGGTAGTGTTTTGAAAACACCGTATTTGTTTACGCAAACGAGACACTTGCTTAATGGAAATCCCAGAGGGTAATCCGTGATAACTTGAGCTTCTGAGAATTCGAATCAAGAGTTGTTGATTGAAGTAATTATGAACTTTATCGCAAGGCAGAAGAAGAAAAAAAACGAACAAAAAAAGGTTCAATTTCAAAATGCATTCAGAAAAATGATTTTGCGTGTGAATGATTACGTTGACGCCGAGCAAAAAACAATGACAATCGAACATTTTCAATCTTTTCGTTATCGGATGATCTTTGTAACTTTTAAAGTTTTTTTTTTCCTTTTCGTCTATTTTCATCCAGAATTATTGTTATCAACTATACTATATATGGTGATGGGCACAATGGGCCGAAATGATTAAAGCATCTCAACTAGCAGATATTTCACGTTCAATAGGTTTAGTGGAGATGCAAATGTTGCCCGTCACTGCGCTAACCGCTTACATTTCTATGTTTTGCGCTATGTGCGTGTACATGTATTTGCGATGCCGACGACGACGACGATGCTCACAGACACAAAAATGTCAAAAACGACAACCAAATGTACAGATGAGACGAAAAAAACACTGTTTAATCTACATAACATTGTAGATGACCGACAAATCTCCAGTGAACATATTAATAATTACGCTGTATAATACAGCTAGTTGAGTTGAGACGTTCGTCTATTTGCTTCCCATTTCGGCCTTTAAACACATTTACACAGCACATATCATTTTAGCGCCTTAATCAACCTAAATTAAGCACATAAATAAAACATCAACACAACATCTTATTGATCAGTCAGTTTATTTGAAATCGTTGCCGTGAAGTGGTCAAACAATTTTTTTCGCGAACAACTCGCAAAAATTCAATTTTTGCCAGTGTTTTTGTTTTTATTGTATTGTACAGTGTGTGTAAACACACAAGATCTATTGAGTATCGTTTTTTTTTTTAAATATATATCGAAAATTAAAAGGTAAAAACTGGTTTAGGTTTTTATGCACAGTACACGATTCCGGACGATGTATATTTGGTTTTTGGTTGTATTTGTGAAATTAAGTGAAACGTTTGTTCATTGTATTTTATTTTCTCTTGTTTTATTAAGTAATAAAATGAGTTTGGTGCAAATGTTAATCTAAAAACTCGTTCGGCAAGCAGCGAATCACGGAAACGATAACATTGAAAATTGGAAATTCTCAAGCGATACGAGAACATTTTAACAGCTAAATAAAATCATAATTAGTTCATTAGGTACAATGTTAATTGAAAATGAAGTCATAGTCATATTTTGGATGTTGCCATCGGCCAACATCATTCGGAAGACAAACAAACTGGCTTTCAAAAAGCAAAATGAATTGCAATTCAGAACGGTTTTCTTTCATGTAGTAGAATCACAGGGGGATAGTGATTTTTTTTTTGTCAAACATTAAACGTTAAAATAAGAAATGTTCAGTATGTTGTTGGATGACGATTCTTTGATGTTTTTATGACATGTATGTATGTATATACCATAGAAACACATTGCAATCATTGAAATGCTGGCAAACTTATTCATCTATATGATGGAAAGGCTGGTGTGTGATTCAAATCCCAAATGTGACGTTTTTTTTCAGAGTTGAGGTAATTTATGACATTTTCAATAAGTTGCAAAATAAAACATGTGTCGTTATAACAATATTTTTTATCATTTTTGATAAAAATGAAAGTGATAGATATTTCGGTTTTTTTTAATCTTTAACCAGGATTGGTTTTTTTTGTCAAAATTAGTCATTGGAACCAAATATTTTCTTGCTCTACGCAACGGAAATTTGCTTCAGATAAAAACAAACGCTTTGATTCAGTTTTTAACGAACAAAAACTTTATTTTCTTCATACAGTAGTCAGTATGAGAACAAATATCAAAAACTCTCATTTTGGTGACGCATCAAAAATAAATTCAAACAACATATTCGCCGAAAAATGATAAGGTAGAAAGTAAAATTTCATTTTTGAAGGCATTACATAATCCAAACAAAAACTGGTTTCATAGTTTTGCTTTGTGTTCCGTAAACGGTCTTTACGTTATAACGCCAAACTTAAATTGATTGATAATTAGATGATTTGAGACAAGAGACACTGAAAGTGACTGTCCAAATTATTGTGACCTTAAACTTGGCCAATGCAAAGAACAAAAACGAATAGAATAAACAATTTTAATTAAAATCGCATATGTTATGGTGGAGTTGCCTTGAACTGGTCATGTAGCTCGTATTTAGCGTTCAAACCAATTCCAAAATCCGTCGCTTTAATGACTTACAAAGCAAACATGAAATACGGATTTAAATGGATCTTGGAGAGAAAAAAAAACCAAGCTTTGAATCAGTGTTTAATGTCAATTTACATTGCTCTTGCTTCTGTTTGTTTTCACATTGAAATGGTGAACAACACTGAATACAAGCTACAATTCCAGTATCTTTGCATTCACTCAGACCGCTGCAACACTTGACTACTCGCGCAAAAAATTAGTCACCAAACAACTAACAACTGGGAAAACAATGTTCAATTGAATTTGCTACAATTGTAGTTAGGCGCATTGTATCAGCTGCGTTGAACACGTAAAGAAATATCCAAGATATGTATGCCTCTTTGAACTGTGTCGAATAGTTTATTTTAGAACAAAAAAGCATATGAATGCAATTCTGTACCTTGAATTCATCGATTCGTTTCGACTCAGCCCGTTAATGTTCGAAATATTTTGAATACTTGCTCGGCTATATACGTGCACCGTAAGTCAAATGAATCAGCAACATTATGATGGTATCGTTTAGATTCGTGGAATACTAGCTGTATCATTCTCTTGATCTATTAATAAAATCTGTATCAAAAAAAGAATGTATTTTGGTTGTGTTTTGATAAATGTCATAGTTAGTTGTAGCAGTTCCATTGACATCACATTCGCAAAAAATTTGATTCGCATAGTTCTACTTGACGATCTGCTGATTGTTTTATTCGAAATATAAAGTTTCATCCGATATATACTTGTATACTTTTGCTTTTTGTTTCTGTTTTTGTTCCATTGTTGCCACAAAGATCGTGTGCGTGTGTATATATTGGATAAATGTATATTTGTGTATGTGTGTGTGTGTGTGTGTGTCTTTTATCGCTATTTTTTATTTTTTTTATTTTTTTCTTTTTATATTTTTTTTTCTCTTTTTATTTCTTCCCGCAATAATAGATAAATCGTAACGAAAATGGCCGAAGCCGGCGTTTTGCGTGCTTCGCGTGCGTTCCATAGCGTTCATCAGACATTGAGCCGCGCTGCAACGTTGTGCAGGTAACAGTATCAGTCGTTAGTTTGAGTTATAAGAATAAAGAAGTGCCAAGCGAATCGCTTACAGTAACAAAAAAGAAATAGTGGGAATAACAGCGATTTTACGAGTATCGTTTCTCGTTAAGTACCAATAAAGTGTTCACAAAACAAAATAAACAAAAATACAATAGTCCACAGCATTCGTTGGAAACATTCAACAGTTATCAATTGAGGTATCTTGAATTCAATAGCATAATCCATTACTTTGTACATTACGATAAAACCTTGCACTAGAACATTGACTTTGATTCAAATGGAAATTCCGTTGTTACATTTACTATTTTGTTTTGTCTGGCACGAACTTTCTTCAGAAAATTCTCTATTTTGGACCTCCAATTTTTTTTTATAAATAAATATGGAGTAGAGTTTGCAATGCAAGTCGAATTAAAGTACAATTTTTCATTGATTTTCACAACGAACACTTATTTATCCAACGAAACAATGCACAGTTGGCCTATAATCAACGAACTGTGAAAGTAATGAACGACTCAAACAAAAAAAAAACTGCTTCATTGAAGTGATAATATGCTTTAAACATTTTAATTAATTAAAACGCGACATTCTCGTTAGAATTCCATTTATATTAAATATGGTCAGGAAGGTGTTTTTTTTTCTTCTTTTTTTCTCCATTTCGTTGTATTTTTTTAATAATTCGTTTTGGCACCTATTTTCCATTGGAATGGTTGGTTTGCGTGCATAAAACCCATTTTTAAAATGAATCATCAGGTAATCTCTATAACAACCTGCGAAATATGTTGATATAAATTTTATTCTGTCTCGCCGACATTTGCGTGTATCATTCGACGGTATGTACGTCGTGGAAAATCCATGAAATGTTATGAGACATCGCGTCTTACTTAAAATGTGCACCTCAGTTAGGACAATTCACGAGATTGGCACAGAAATTAATATATGTAAATTGATTTGGTTGAATATGAGAAATGAGATTTTCATGTTTGTTCCTGTTATCGTTTACTATTTGGTTCATAGTTTTTGTTGTTGTTTCGTTCACAGTTTGCTATTGGTACTGTCATTGACTAGTGTTAGTTTGGCAGCCACAACCGGAGGACGTGCAAGTGCAGTAATTCCACAGCCCGCTACAAATATACAGGGAAATAAAAATTCAAGACCAACCGTCATGCATTCCGCTTTTACAAATGCAGGCCGGGCAGCCGGTTTAGAAATTTGGCGAGTTGAGGTAAGGTTTTTTTCTCTTCAATTTTTTTTTTTCGTTTTATGCGATTCTATGTTCAAGTCGTAAATTTTGGTTTATTTACATTTTTAAATGGCAGAAAAAAGGCGGAAAATCCAGATTTCAATTTATGCGATTAATTAGGGAATTCATTGTTGTGAATATCATCATGAATGTGTCCGATGGATAGCATTAAAAGAATTCATTGACGTGATTTCAAATGGATTCGTTGAAATTGTTTTCTTTTCTTTGCAAAGTTGCAAAATGCCTAGAACATCTGTAGCTTTAAATACGATGAGTAAAAGGATACAAAGTCTTATGAGCCATAATTGATGATCTGGCTATATATTTGTGGGAGCACACTGAACATTCTTGATCGATTTTCGTTCAACCTTCTCATTCTCTTACTCGAAGATTTATTAACATGCGAAATTTCTCCGAATCCATCATTTTTACATGACAAGGAATTTTGGCTTGACTTTCGGTGAATGACAAATCAGTTGACTCAAACCAATTGACTCAAGCCAGAGTAGTGACACATGGTTATTTCCTTGAATTTTTCATTGGTTTACCCGTTTCTGATGAAAATTCTTTCAATTTATCTGTAGCATTTTATTAATAAAATGACGGATAACGGGGAAATTGTTTTGCTAGTTGACCATGTTGTCGATCTATTGCGCAGAAAAAAATCTGTTTTTCTTCTTCATTTTTCTTGGATGCCATTATGATTATGATGTCAAATTCTGGTTCGTTTACTCAACAATTTTTGGTGCAAAATTCTCAAAATAGATGCAACTGTTCTGTGGTGGAATATATCGTTGTAATTGTAAAAAAAAGACCGAGTTCGTCCCTGTAAAGATCGTATGATATTTAATGTGATCGTTTATGGGTGAAAAACCGACCAAATGTGAATCTCGTTTGTCAATAGTTTGATGTAAAATTAGAATTTTTGGTCGGTGTGTGGACTACATATGTTTTTTGTGCATTGGATTTTTTTTCCAATTACTGTCGCTTTCGCTCGATTACAATCAGCAGAGCAGAGCAAAAAGAGCACGCGCGAATGACTGCAGACACACACTCTATTCGAGCACCGAAATGCATTTGTAGAAACTTCTGAGATAGAAAGATATGCTATTCCATCCATCCATCCATAGTGTCCGTATGTCTGGCGATCATTGCTTTCGACCGGAGCGCATAATGTGTGTGTTTTTTTTTAAGAAATAGCTCTCGCTTTGGCGTGAATTTAAATTGCTGCAAGATACGTCAGGCCAGTGAAGACAGCTCATTTTTCAGTGAATTTTGATCTTTCAGTTAAAAGGAGACGTTAGATGAGATTTTGTTTTTTCACTGGTTTTAAGTTAACAGCGAGAAAGAGGCTAACACGAAAAATTGTAGCAGCAACAAGACAATTTGTGTGAAAAGCGATTACAGCGATTTACTAAGCGTTGACTAGTAGCTGTATGTAGGTGTACTATTATAACCAATTTAGCAAATGAAATATTATGCTAGGCTTCATCTTGAAGGCTCCGCTCACATTGTTTTTGGGTTGAATTATGCCAATCAAACAGTGAAATAGAAAGAAAAGAAAGAAGCAAACAAACAAACAAAAAATCAAAATAGATTGTTTTTATTTTTATCTTCTACCTATCGAACGCTCGAAGACACAGCAAAAGAAAGAAAAAAAAATTTCATTTTCACAGATGAACAACCGGCATAATGGTTGTAAAAACTAAAGCTGAGTATAACACTTACGATAAGCGTAACCAAGTAAACAGTGTTTTTTTCTCTTCGTTTTTCTGCATAATGTTGCAGAACAAATGCAGTTTTAATCAACAACGCGGTGGATTCAATAACGAGAAGATCATACGCAGATATACAAGATATGCAGTAATCGTTTACTGATAGAAATGATATAAACGGTTATTTAAGAATTTCATTTTTGAAAGCAACGCCGAGAAAAGAAGTAGAAGAAAAGAAAGAAAGAAGGAAAACTAAACGTGAAAGCATCGGACTTTCGAACACATGCCATAAATATAGATTAGACCGCACACACCGCGTGCTACTCTGCACGCAACTATTGATTTTGATTGCAGTCGTGTTACGCACTAAATATGAGATGAAAAGCGATGAGCAAATGTCGCACATAATTTATATTAAAATGCTGCGCCATATTTTTTCGTTGTTCGCGACTAATAAAATGCGCTGCTGTCATTGGTGAGGCAGTAACGAGCGGAACCCACGCGCGCACGCACAAGTCAATCGCTACACGGTACAAAATTAGCATTGAATCTAGTCCAAGAAAAATTCATACATGCCACTGAATCCGGCCCTTTTGACGCAGCAACTGTTTCCATAAATACGACAAATGATTGAACGATCAAATGGTATGAAAAATATGTACATCTGGTCACAAAATGAAATCATCAGAAATGTTTTATTAGCATTTTGATCGCATCGGTTCAGAAGAAGAAAGATATGAATTGTGTATTCAATCGAGCGCGATTACTTGATCGCATCAAGTAGAAAAAGTAATTGGAGAAACAAAAATCAGAAATCGCATAAATACTAAATGCAATTACTCATTCATGGCTTGCAAATTAATTCGCGCACATATTACATTTAAGAATCGATAATACACATGTCGGATTTGTTTATTCAGTGCCCGCAGCAAATCGATCCGATTTTCCATTTCGTTTTCTTTGATGTGCTCATTGATCGGACAGTTTTATTCAGTTTGTACAAGCAGAAAGAAAATAAATATGTTATCTACGATCGTTGAGCATTTGCAGCATTTCGCTCGAAAATAAAGTTATGAGAACGAGAGAAAACTAAAACTTAAACTGATAGGTACTTGTTATGTTTTCTCTTGCGTAATTTTTGTGTGAATATCTATTTTCAGAATTTCGAACCGGTTGCGGTTCCCCGATCTGACCATGGAAAGTTCTTCACCGGGGACTCGTACATTGTTTTGAATGTAAGTGGGTAATTTTAAGTGCCGCATTCGTGTTGCTGCTCATAAATTGCGATGAGTTTCGTTTAATTTTATTACTTATGGCCATTTAATTTAGACCAAATCGGATAGCAAGAAGAAGTTATCATGGGATGTTCATTTTTGGCTTGGTTTGGAGACGTCCAGAGACGAAGCAGGTGCTGCAGCCATTTTAACTGTTCAATTGGATGATTTGCTCGGCGGAGCCCCAGTACAATATCGCGAAGTTCAAGAGCATGAATCGGCCAAATTTCTGGGCTACTTCCGAAATAGCATTCGATATGTGGCTGGTGGTGTTGCAAGCGGTTTCAGCCATGTTACCACAAATGATGGTGGACAAAAACGTTTATTCCAAGTTAAAGGAAAGCGCAACGTTCGCGTTCGTGAAATTGGTCTTTCGGTGTCGAATATGAACAAGGGTGACTGCTTCATTCTCGAAAACAACCGTGATATTTATGTTTATGTTGGTCCAAGCTCAAAACGTGTCGAGAAATTAAAGGCAATTAGCGCTGCCAACCAGATCAGAGACCAAGATCACAACGGCCGTGCCTCGGTGCATATTCTCGGTGAGCGATTCAATGAGGATTTTCCAATGTTTCAGTAGGATGACTTTGTTTATTTTTAATTGATATAAATTAGATGAATTCAGCACACTTGATGACAAAGAAGATTTCTTCCGTGTTTTGGGCAGTGGATCGGCTGATAAGGTGCCAGAAGATTCAACAGCTGAAGAGGATGCTGCTTTCGAAACCAGTGATGCAGCTGCCGTTACTCTGTACAAAGTGACCGACGCTGGTGGCTCATTGAAAGTGGAGACCATTTCCACCAAACCCATTCGCCAAGAAATGCTCAAGAGCGAGGTATACACAATTTTCATCTACTTTTGTTGAATTTTGTTAGTTTTGATGTATTGAATGTTCTTAGGATTGTTTCATTTTGGACACTGGTTCGGCCCTATACGTATGGGTTGGCCGTGGTGCTACGCAACAAGAGAAATCACAATCGATTGTACGCGCTCAAAGTGAGTAGAAAATTTAATAAAATCTATGAGTCGTAAATGTTCAACAAGCAAAAACTATTGATAAAATCAATCCATTTAGACTTTATTCAATCGAAGAAATACCCCTCCTGGACGCCAGTCCATCGAATTGTTGAGAATGCCGAAACGGCTCCATTCAAACAGTATTTCGCGACCTGGCGTGATATTGGTATGCAACATACTCGTTTGATCCGTGCTGCCAAAGACATCGATTCCGATTCGGGCATGGAAGATGAAATCGATCCAAATGAAATTCGTGCATTGAAGAAGAGCGGTGGCCGTGCTCTTGGTTTTATGCCAGACAATGGAGAGGGTGACGTTGAAATTTGGCGTATTGACAACAGCCAACCAGTTGCAACCAAACCAACTGGAATTTTGTTTGGCTCAAAAGCATACGTCTTGAAATATCATTACAAGCATGGTGGCGAAGAAGGTGTAGTTATCTACTACTGGCAAGTGAGTGTTTACATTCTATTGATCTAGCCCAATCGCTACGAACTAATTCTAACATAAACAAAACCACTTTGAATTTAGGGTAAAAATGCTTCAAGCAAGGACAAAGCCTCGTCAGCGATGTACACATCTCAATTGGACCGCGAATTAAATGACATAGCGTTGCAAGTACGCGTCGTGCAAGGCTTTGAGCCACGTCACTTTTTGAAAATATTCAAGGGAAAATTGATTACGTACACACATGATGATGCTGCTGACAAAACGCATTTGTTCCGTATTCGCGGAACATGTGCCGAAGATGTGCGGGCCGATGAACGTGATGCGATCGCTTCTAGTCTTGCCTCGGACGATGTGTTCATTCTGCGAACACCATCAAACGCATTCATTTGGAATGGTCTCGTAAGTGCAACGAAGGTTTTATTCAATGGCATCGATCTTTACACGCAGCTGTGCTATCTTGATCTCTTCTGTAGGGCGCTTCGAAATTCGAAAAAGAAATGGCTTCTGTTGTCATTAATGCTATTGCTCCAAATATTGACGCACAAATAATCGATGAGAACGCCGAACCGGCCGCATTTTGGGCAGCGCTCAATGGCAAAGGTGAATATGACACCGAATTGGATCCACCAGGTGCACCATTTTTGGAGCCCCGTTTGTTCCACTGCAAATTGCTTGCGAATGGCAAATTGCGCGTTGAAGAAGTGGATGATTTTGACCAAGAAGATTTGGATGAAGATGATGTCATGATTATGGACGGAGGCGATGAGGTGTACGTGTGGGAGGGCAAAGATTCAAGCCATGAAGAGCGTCGCAAATCGATTGAAGTGGCTCATGTAAGATATCAAGATGAAATTTTTATTTAATTCGCATCATCAACACCATCATTATCATTATCATCATCGAAGCGATCAGTTCATCTTATGTCATATCCTTGCATAACGCAATTAACAACCCAACACCATCAACATGTCATTTGTCATATTCATACTTGCATCTTACGTTAGTCTATTTTTTTTTTTTTTTTTCAAAAATGTTAATCCATTTTTCGGCGATTACAGCAATATATTCGTAATGACCCATCGGAACGATCCGAAGAGAGTGCGGTCATTGTTCGAATTCGTCAGGGTAATGAACCACGAAGCTTCAAACGTTTATTCCCAACTTGGAATAATGATATGTGGAAGGTTAGTAAAAACCAATTGAAATAAGACGCCCGAACTAAAATTTGTGACAAAAATTTAGATTGAAGCAATGAAATGACATACCCGATCTAATCAATTTAACCAACAAATATTCCAATACCTTTACTAAATGTTGTAACTACCGATTTTTTTTTAAACCAAGATTGAGACAAAATTGGAATTAATAAAAGATTTAGTTTCTAAGATGAACATTACTTGAAAGCTTATTTGTGCTCCGATAATATCCATTAATATACTGAGTCTTTTTTTCAATGAAAGAAATTAATAATAAATATTTAAGCAAATACTTCACACATATTGTAAATGCACATGAAAATTCCATTAACATTCCGTTCTAACAAATTATTGCAATTAACGTCACGTATTGGTGTGTGCTAAACAAAAACAAATGCTGCTTTTAGCGTGTACCGTAAAAATTGTATTTTCTTATTTCTAATTTGAAAATGTATCAAAATTCCAGTCTCGACCATCGTACGAGCAGTTGCGAAATGAAACTCTACAGAAGAACAAACTAAAATAGAACGACGGAATGCAAATTATTATCAAAACAAACTTGACAAACATGACGTATTATTTGATTTGTTATGGAAATATGTTACCATATTATGCACAAAGAGTCATTGTTAAAATGAAATGCCAAATAAATGTTTGATCGAATAAAAGATGTTGTTTGTTTCGATTTTCATATTTCAGAGAGAGAAAAGCAAAAATCTCAATCTAAATCAAAATCAATGTTTAAATCAAGATATGCACGCTTTAGTAGTGAGCTTCAGTCGGACTACCGCCATCTAGTGCCATCAAAGTGAAATGATGAAATGAATCGAGAGCTTCAATCCCCACCATACTCATCACATCATCGAATGAACAACAGGAGAAGTGCCTGCCGCACGGAAAATGTTTTTTTTTGTTGTGCAAATTCAAAATTCGAACCGCAAAAAACCGCACAAAATGATCTTCCGTATCAACAACGCAATTCGTCTTAGTCAAATGTGTAATGGATGTGTTGCGTGCAATGCCTTTTTACAAGATTTAATTTTATGTTTCATCAACACGAGTCGGTTATTTGATGTAAGCCGCACGAATGCACACAATTTGGTCAGTTCTTGGCTGGAAAATGTAACATGGCAATCAACAGCCATGTAGCCTAATCGTAATGCATATGCATAATTCATACTCTGATTTACCGCCAATTATCTTCATATTTAATACACCACTAGATATGACCAAAACGATCAGTCATTCGACGGTACATTCTAACTATAACTATGTTGTGAGCCACAGAGAACGAAAATTCAAAAAAAAACTGTTAGCTTTGTCTCTTTTATTTTTTGTAAATCCAAACTTTCAATTGTTCAACATTACAGGAAAAAATGATTTTGTTTATGTTTCGAATCAAGTGTTGTGGATTTTGCATTGTACTCTGCTGGGTGCATTTCATTGTTTGTCGCTCAAGTGATAAATAGTTGAAGTTGGTAAAACGATTTCGCATGCATGAGCGTAATTAATTAAAAATCAACGACAATAAACAATAGTGAAAAAAACTCTCTGGCACATAAAGTGAATGCAGTAAATAGAACAGGGAAATGAAATAAAATGCGATAATCAGGTTCGCTTAGTTGCATACACGTTGGGTCAGCTGTGATTCATTTTTTTTGCCCATTCACTTTCTCTCCCTCTCCTACTGTTCCTTCGTCGTTCGTTCATTCAATATTTTATATTTTCCCGATTTATTTGCTTGCATTTTCGAATGCGCATGCAATGGGTAGTTTTTCGTTTCGTTTTCAGTTTGGATTTGGCGAATAATAAAAAATATACGCGAACCGAAAGAAATAAGCCACAACAAAAACTATGCAACAAACTCCGCAAGAACAAAAAAATGTCAAATACAAAACAAATTGTTGATTTTAGATTTTCTTGCATATTTATTTGGGTTAGAGACATTTGTGCACCATGAAAATAGTAATGAGAATATGTTTCGCTGTAATGGCCTGTGTTTGCACGTAAATAATTTCGTTGCACATAAAGTGGGTAATAATTTGTTTTAATCGTGCATTTATGTGGCTCAATGAGGTTCAAACTGGGAGCGGTTAATTTTTGTACATTTTTTTTTCTCGTTCGTTTCCCCTGTTGAATGCATTTATTTAGGCTTGATGGCGTTTTTTCTCGTTCTTGCCTCTGTCACTTCTTGTTGAAAACCCGTTTTACATCCAAAGTTGTTTGCACATTAATTCAAAAAAAATCTTGCAGTGATTTTAATTACAGATTAAGGACTTTCATTAAATTACAACACGATTTATGGTTGAATTTCTTTTTTTTTTGTTAGATCCTGATTTGCTAGTACATTTGAGGCTGAAAAAAAAATTAATTGATATTTTATTCATTGAATATATATATATATATCAATTCTCTCTCGTTCACTATTCCGAATTCCCTAATATGAAACGTTTTTTACTATCGTACAAAGTCCGTATGATGTACGTGTATATAGGGATGAATCGAATGGTTGTGAATGGTTCACAATTTCTCCAGTGATAGTCTCCGCCTAGTTCTCCTATTCTTCGATACCACACCGAAATGGCGTATCCATTCGATATGCTCGACTGTTGCCCCTTCCGATTCAACGACAGTTCATCCGACAAAATCAGAAATAAGTTCATTTTCCCCTGCGCAATTCAATGTTTACACACAAAGGAATACATTTGGATTGAAGGAGGACAGGAGGACGACTCTACACGGAGGGAACACGTTAACGTCATAACTTATGGAAGGCATCACAGTGCGCAGCTGCACTGCGTCGATGAACACACGTTCAAAATTGCATCGGATAACAGATATACCAACAATGCCATGCCATGCCATGCACTCTGTGCACGATATATATGTGGAACTAGATGTGCTATTTAGAATTCTTTAATAAAACGGAATCGTAACCGAACCGAAACATTTTTCAAGTGGATTGAATGAAGTAGCTATGTTGCTGCTGCCGTTGTAGTTGTTGCTGTTGTCGACGTCGGTTTTGTTGTTGTTGTTGTTGTTGTTGCCATTGCTTCTCTATCCATGCCCAACGCTCTATCGTTGATACTGTTGTTATTGTGCCACATGAGTAGTAGATATTCGAAATCAACAACGCGGAGACTCTGAATCAACGAGTGGTTTTTCTATCACTTCAGTCAATTCGGATACTTCCATTTATCCGGTCGAGTATTTTTCGCTGTCGTCGCACCGTGTGAGAATATTACGTCGAATCCATTTTCCAAACAACGTACGATTGTACAAATGTTTTTCGTGATAACGGTCCTTAACTTGAATCCACTAAATTAATTGAACGAGAAAAAGAAAATTTTCTTCCACATTTGAAGTAAATCAGATTTGTATTATTTGATTGTTGTTGTTATTTCAGTGGGGATTATTGATATAAATTGAATTGCCGGTATTTCGATCTAGGCGCCATAAAATTGAAATATTTTCTTGCGGCCCCACGTGAAATGTGCTCAAAAATTTTCACATTGAATCGGATTGAGTTGGCCCGAAGTTTTTGAAGCTAAAATAAAATACCGAACAAAATTGGAACGAAATTTTTCACTTAAATTAGTTTTCGATCAACTTTTGACATAATTTTCGTTTCAATCAATCATAAACGGGAACGGACATAATATTTTTCGTTCAATTACGGTTCGACGATTGTGCTTGTGAAGTTATAAGTCAATCAACAACAAGAAAAGATAAAATAAAATTTATTCGGGTACAAATGCAAAGTGCTTCAGTGGCTACAGAAAAAAAAATAGTGTGCACACATAGTAAATGCCATTTAAATCAGGCAAATAATACTCTACAGCACAAATACTTTTTCATTTTCAACCAAGAAACGGAGAAAATCAACGTCAATTCATATTCTCTCCGTCGTTTGTGATTTTCAAATACATCATCAGTGCACATTTTCCAACGATTTTGATACGATTCGATGCGATAGTGAGAGAGCAAAGGAGCGATTTTCAACAGAAAAAAAGGCGAATGAAAAACAATTTTGACGAATGAAAAGCGACAGCAAAGCGAGAGAAATCAAAAATATAAAATTACAAATAAGAGGAATTTGTAGAAAGCAAGATTTGTAGAATCGACCAATCAACGGACAAACATCAGTTAAATATTAAATATTGGAAAAAATAGGACGAAAAGTCAATAAAATTCAACAAATGTTTATTTGAAAAGTGTATGCATGAACAACCAAACAAATACGTAAAAAGGGACTGAAAAAATCATAAAAACATCATCAACATTTGAAATTGTCGGCGATTAAAACTGGTACAGAAAAAAAAAATTATATTGAAAACAAACAGCACACCGTTCGAAGGGAAACAGACTAATACATCTATGCGCCCACAGATACTCAATTGAATCATAAATGTGATTAAATACTAACACTAATCGATTCGGTGTAATCAGTTTTAACAGAATTATATATGTGTTTTTGACACTGATATTGCGTTCAAATTGATGCCAATTGAGACACAGTGAGTTAAATATTAAAATGCTGATTTCGTGCACGCCACATTTACTATCGTCATAAAACCAAAGGGCCGACAAATTGCTGAGCACTTTTTCACAGCGAAATTAATCCAATTAAAAGCCATTTAGAAGCAAATAAAGAAAACTGTGAAAAAACAAAAAGAGAAGAAAAAATATATATATAAAAATTCTGTGGTTGAACTGTTGATGATTTGCGTGGAAGCAAGAAACGTTTAGCGGCCGTAGCATTGGTGTAAATCTCGAAAGGATAATAAAAGAAAATTGTGTGCAACCGAAAAATTCACGGCACATACACAATAATCGCAAGTGGTGAGTTTAGTTTGTTTGTTCTTTTTCCTCGTCATATTATAACTTACCTATGTGTAAAATGGAATGAAACGAAACAGCTGTTAATCAAGTGTGTTTTTTATCTTGACCAAAATGCGACAAATTATTTGGATGACGAGTAAAATTGGTCGACCATTTCTTTTTCTCTGTTTGAAATTGTGATTTTGATTGAATGAACCATGAGAGTTGAATTGTCCACTTGAAACGGGATCTATAATAGAATAATTTTCTTCCAATTACAGTTTAAATGATTTAAAAGCCATTGCAGTTGCTTGTTTCTTCTTTTTTTCTTACTTTCTTGCACTCAGTCTTTCAACTGATGCTGTGATTTTTCCGTCAGACTTTTTGTAACTTAAAACTTAGCTCATATTTTTCCGCTCAACTCCGTGCCGCGCAACGTTTATATTCTTGTGTGGTTGTCCTGCACAGCAACAACGGACTTTAACGGAGACGAGATCAAAATTTTTATATATCCATATAAATGTGTATATATATAAATGAGAGAGAGTCAATAAATGAGGGAAAAAAGAGCCAGTGATAAAAGAGAAAAGCGATAAAGAAAATTGTGAAGAAAACAATTTGCATTCAGTGAGATTAAAGCAAGTAAATTTACCCATTTCCTGAACTTAAATACTTGAGCAAGGTAGATTCTTTGTGTTTCTGCGGAAAACGTTTAGCAGGTTCAGTCTTTGTGATCCTTCAGGCACACTTTGTCGATGCACATAGTTGGAAACCATTCCACGAAATTAAATTATTTTTTTTGTTGCGTGCGCCCGAGTAGATTAGTTTTCTCAAAGTTTAATTTTCTTCCTTGACGTATTTACTTCGCAATGCACACTGAACTTTCCTGGAATGGATGGTGCCGAGATATAGCTGAAATGCCGTTCTTATCTCGAGCTAGTGTTTGCGTGCGTATCTATCGTCGTCGTCGTCGTCGTCGTCGTCGTGTATGTGAAAGATCAAAGATTCATATATTTTTATTTATTCGCGAACAATTTTTCTGTTTTTGCTTTGTTTTCTAACGATTTTCATTCATTCTTTTTGTTTTGCTCTTTAAACGTATCCTTTTGGTATGGCGGTAATTTTTTGTCTCAAAGAAAAAAATTCTGTTATTATTATCGTCTCAAACGTAGCATAGCCATGAAAAATGAAGAGCCGTAGGGTTTTTTTTATGCATTCTTTGCTTCATGGTTAATGAAGAAAACAATAGAGCAGAATGCTACGTGCTTGGCCACTTCCCATTACAAATGGTTGACGAACGTACGCAATTCAAAAGCAGTTTCTTTTTTCCTTCTGCTGCTCGTTCTATTTATCACTTTTGCTCTGCGATTTACAGGCCAAAAACAACAGTAAGTAAATCCATCGTCTTATCAGGTGCAACATTTTTTTACCCGAACAAACCATTTTAACAAAGAATGTAAATACTCGACAGCGCTTATAGACACGTAGAAAAAGAGTGCGATCGCATTTTCCTTTCGTAAACACATCAAAATATATCAATCCATCAATTATCTTTATGATTACCATCATGCACTCTTTTTTTCTCTTCTTTTTAAATCGAATAAATTGCTCACCATTTTCACGCTGACAAACATTTCGTAGATTCTGATGATACTCAAATGAAACTGACGGATTTTAAAATAATAATTTATCATTTCGCCTAAAACATCTCGAAAGATAGTTGATTTTGGCATAACAAACAACATAAATTGGATGATTGACATTGACAGTGCCAAAAGTTCAAATTTTTCAACAGAGAAGAAAAAAAAACACATGAATGAAAATTTGCCAATAAAAAGCCGATTAGCCCTCGGAAAAAATTGAAATGCATTGGAGCATTGAAATATGTAGACAAAATGTTGATTAGACAACTAAACTATGCCAAATATTGTTGCAAGAAAGTTTTGACAGAAAAAGAAACGAATTCCGTTTCCATACTGAATCGGGAGGAAATGTTAATGGCAATCGTATTTTTCTGCATTCATGTTGGCATTTAGATCACACACCAACATTTACGAAAGAGTTTAGAGTACTAAAGCTATCATCAGTTGATTCAGAGTTCGTTATGTGTTTTTTCTTCTTCTGTTCTCTTTTTCCGTGGCTCTTGCATAACTAGAGCAAATTTATGGAATAAAAGTGCCAAGTTAACGTGTCAGTGGAATGTGCATACTCTTTTGAATAAATAATAAACGAACGAAGAATAAATTTTAAAGAAAAAATGGAACGAAATAAACTGTAGAACAAATGTTGCCACATGAACGCAATAATGACACACAAAAGGCAAAGAAAATGTGAATAACTGAGACGGCATTATGAACGGGCAAAAATAAAAAGCCAAATGTTAAACACGCTGTTTCAAAGACGCAGAGAATTAAATATGTTTCGTGAAAACAAAATATGCTTGTGTTTATAGAAATGCACTTAATTTCCATTGTTTGCCGCGACATTTTCAAATAAGTTCAGTATTCTCTTCAATCGCCCTTTCTCCTTGGTGAATACCATTTTTTTTATACATGAATGACTAAACAACAATCGAAAATTTTGCAAATTCATTCGAATTCAAGACTCAATAGAATAAATATCCTGAATTAATTACACCGAGCAATGTTTTGAGAGCATTAAGATGTACTGTTCATGTCACATTGTTCTGGAACGGTTTGTGCTTTTCGCATTTCAATGGCCATTGTTTGTTGCGTAGAACAGAAAAGAAAATAAAACGACATTCAAATCATTTGTTGTTCGAAATTTTGTGCAAGGTCATATGTCAGTTGTCGATGTAATGCCATCAAATCTGTCAGCAAACAACTAATATTCGACTTTCAGTTTCAGTCAAGTGTGTTTATCACGCACTTCATTGCTCGTGTCGATATGTATTTGATGTGAAAAATGTGTGACAAAAATGTGCAGCAACCGCAATATGGCCAACAAATTTTAATCTATACGGCCCACTGTGTTCATCATGAGTTCGCTGAAGCGATCGCAGTTTATTTATAAATTAATACGAAGTACCAAAATCGATATGGATTTTCATTTTGGTTGTTAATGTACGGTTCTTGGTCTCATCGTCGTTGATACACTGTGCATTTTATGGTTCGCTTTGTTCGGTGACTACTTGAAATGCGGCGTCCGATATGTAAAGCATTTTCAACCGTGTGTATTTTACTGCTCGCGACTATCGATTGAATTTGACAAACAATGACGAATAACATTCATGTTTATATTGTGAATGGATGACTGGCACGAATCAACAATGTAACAAAGTATAATGCCAACGGAGGAATCAAATACTCGGAGCCACATCTACAGTCACCTCGACAGCAATGTACACCCACAAACACCGGCGAATGAGTTCTCTCTATTTTGCCACTTCAGTCTCAATTGATGATTGAACTCCGTCAATCACTCAGTCTGTCTCTCTCTCTCTCTCTCTATTCACTGCATTACTTGTTCGCTGTAGATAATTTTTCAACAAAACTGCTGTTATAATTGCTAATCCGATTATTTGTCGTGTTCGTCACTGCGATCGAAAAACAATATTTATTTAACATTCTCATTCTCATTCACATTCACAAAAAGGTGGCTAGCGATTATTTTCCCATCACTCGCCGCAATTTCGCTCGCGCCCATCCTGATTACAAACATTTCTATTCGATACAATGAATTTCGAGTATTCGTCGACTCATTGATTAATTGTCATCATCCATATCAATTGTCACATGCATTGCTGTTTCCATAAATAAGGAATTATGATCGCTACATGATAATATGACGATGGAGATGTAACTGTGCACAATTCACAATTGAAATGTGTCAAAATGGGAAAATTTACATGGAAAATGGAGCAAAATGAAAGGAAAAAAAGGTAATGTGAAAGAATAATATGTGAATGTATTCGATGGGATGGAGGAGCAAAAAGAGTGGACAAAATGATTGCAATGAGTCTAAATCGATGTATTTTTCGACCGGTTGATTCAGTTCTCAGTTCGATTTCGATTTTTAATGTTGGCTATTTTTATCCACGTCATTGACGACAGTCACTGTGTGCCGTGTACCACAGTGCAGTGCTGCTCTCCGAACCGAGATATAATGTAATTGTGTGTGTGTGTGTGTGTGTGTGTGCAAACTCTTATCCTATTCCAACAACCAACCATTTGATGAGCTTTGCGGTTGAATTAAGGCGCAACATAATCCGTCGGTAAAATTCATTTTCACACAAACAAAACACACCGTAAACTACACACAAGAAAATAACGACAACAAAACGACAACGACTATGGAAAACGAGAGCAAACATTTTGTGAATGTGGATGTGCCGCTTATCACTCTTTAGCAGCTCGCTGGTTACTTTTAATCCACTTTGCTCTGGTCGAAAAACAAAGGCACCGTTTTACCAATGTTTGTCCGACACCGTCTTGACATTGAGTTGTCGACGAATAAAAACATAGCCGATCAATCTGTTTGCTCTCGATATGGCTATCATAGCCAGCTCTAATTCACTGTCGCTATCATAACTATAGCCAAAATATATGCCATTTTCTATGTGTTGCCGGTCGTTTTTTTCTCTTCTCTTTTCATTTTGTCTTTTCATTGCACAAATTTGTTTTTCTGTGGCAAGCACTTTCAAGTCCATCACAAAAATTCGGATGTTATTTTTCGAACGAGAACACGAAACCCATTTTCCCTCGGCATACAAATCGCAGAAAAACAGAGTTTGAAGCGGATAGAGAGAGAAAGAGAAGAGATTATGTCTAATATCATAACTGGATGAAATCGCTGAAAATTCAGTTATTCTGTGTCTGCAACAAAAACAACAAAAAATCCAGCAGAAATGCCATGAAATATTTTGTGTAATTTTTTGAAATTGATTATTTCTCTCATTATGCGCCCTTTTGAGATAACCTCATCATTTCTGCTATTTTGCATAGAGATTCAACGCATTCAAACAAATAGATTCTCATAAACGAGCAACGACGATCTTCGTCTCCGTTTACACTTTTTCCACCCATTCGTTACCGTAGAAGCAGTTTTTCTGATGCGCTTGGCCGGTAGCCAAAATCAAAGAGATTCATAGACGAATCGAAGAGGGAAAAAAAGTGAAATAAAGGCAGAAAACTCAGAAGGGAAAAAACAACAACTGAAATTGATTGTAATAATAATCAAAGTATATTAAGAAAAATGAAATGTGAGAGAGGCAATGCAGACGTTGATTCTATCGTATATTTTGTGTTTTATGATCGAGAATATTGCCAACGAATGAAAAACAATTTGAGAAAAAAAACGGGGAGAACGAAAGATCGATTGCGTTTCAAATGCATTTCGTAAAATTAAAATGGAAAAAGAGGAAGAAAAAAAAAATCCGTTCGATCAATTTCACAAGCATTTTATATTTTCTTCTTGGAAACCATTGGATTAATCAATCGTTTTATTGGTGTTTGTGTGTTTATGTGTTGAAAGTACTCAATGATTCGGCGTAAATCGAGCGAAATGTACTTAAGTGGTTGAATTCGCATTAAAGCTCGATTTTAATTCACACAAATGCTTACCATTTCAACCAACATCCCCCCCCCCTCCACCCTCCAAGTCTAATAGACGTTGCGATCAAAAACTGAAATTTTCAATAGTGCAGAGATGGCAGCCACGAGGCATTTGACAATGAGAAAAAAAGAAAGTGACTAATGTAAACAGTACAAAAGCCGCCACAAAACCAATCCATTTTGATCTAAACCGCAGGATATTTGATTTTCCGTTTTTCTTGTTGTAGAAAAAAAGAAGATTCCTTCCATTCATCTCCTTCAATTTTCCATCAATATTTACTCGTGCTTG